CCCAGGTACGTGAGGCCAGGGTGAAATTGTGTGCACATGGCGAGGCCTTGGTACAAGATGGCTGTCTCGAACGGCAGGCCCCAGGTACGTGAGGCCAGGGTGAAATTGTGTGCACATGGCGAGGCCTTGGTACAAGATGGCTTTCTCAAATGGCAGGCCTTAAGTATGTGTGACCAGTGTGGGATTGTGTGTACGAACAGGCCTTGGTATAGGTGGGCAGTTTTGAACAGCATACTAGAGAAAATTACCGTCTGCTTACATAATTTAACTGTGCTACTCAATGTTGAGGGTGGTTTACCTCGTCATAGTTGCAGGTAGTTTACATGGTTGATTATGCAGATGATTTAAGAAGTTGATTGTTAATGCAGTTGATGTTGCTGCAGGGTTGCCTGATAAATGTTGCAGGTAGTTTTACTATTCCATGTAGCTGCTGATTCACTCAATTGATTCCTTCAGGTCGTGCTGTCGGCGGGTGGAGACGGAGAAGTGAAGGAGGCTGACCTGCGGGTAGAGGGCTCTAACACGTCAGTTTAGTGATAGTTTGTTATTATCATCTGTGTTTTTCCTTATATATGTGCGCTAATGCATCGATTGATGTTATTTATTTAACTACTAATCTCTGTGTTTAGGCAGGAAAAATATTTTTTCTGCAAGCGTAAGAAAAACTACGACAATGGAAGTTCATGTTAATCGCGGTAATTCCGTGTGATAAACTCCGTCGTCTTCTAGACCTCAGTTCTCTCATTTAAATTATAGTCTTGAGACTCTCAAGATCTTCCACGAAATAACAGAAGAATAAAAACATCATCCATCATGGATACGTTGCCGATCTTTGGCCACAATAAATATGCGCTCAAGCTACCGTAAAATTCGCTCAAGTACATGTAATGGCCGATCTTGGTTGTGGTTGGTGGGTTTAGCCTAATAGCACGGCCCCAGAATGGTAATTCTTGTAAACAAAGCCACCATCCACAGGATCGCCATAACCACGGACGACTTTGGAACCCGGGTGGCTCTTCACAGCATCCACGCCCACCCTCTGAACGAAAACCAGTTTTGCGTGGCTGGTCGGGACGAGTACATCTGCGTGTACGACCGACGCATCACCACCCCGACCGCCCCGCCTGTTCTCAAGTACTGCCCTGATAACCTCGTGAGTTCTCATCTCAAATGTGGCTATGTAAACGCATAAATACTTGTATTGCGTTCGTCACAATTTAGCGTAAGGCTTTTATATAAAATTTTATGAAATATAGCGGTGTATATACAGTGGGGGGAAATAAATATTCGTACACTTGAAAAATCGTATTTTAATGTATGTAAGTACACAAACTTAACAGGAAAAGTGATTTAAATTANAATACTATGCGTCTCTATACATAATTTAAATCACTTTTCCTGTTAAGTTTGTGTACTTACATACATTAAAATACGATTTTTCAAGTGTACGAATATTTATTTCCCCCCACTGTATATTACAACCTGGTATATTCTTTACCACCTGTGGCGCCTCGCCAATTTCGATTAGAATTTTTCACAACAGTTGCGGGGTTCGAATCCTCGACAGTCTTCTTCAATCTGATATTTATAGAAATTCTGCTGAAGCATTGTCGAAGTTATTTCCATCATTTCTCAAGCAAGTTTTCACAGAAATCGTCCCGTCCGCGGGCGAACGCGACGAGCGCCGTATACAGCAACAACGGCGACGCGATCGTGGCGTCGTACAGCGACGACGACATTTACCTCTTCGACACAAGCGAGCCTTGCCAGGCCCCGCCTGCACACCGCTACACCGGCCACCGCAACAGCGCTACAGGTGAGGTCGGATGGTGGTCGCAAGAGACCCGTGGTGATGACGAGAGACCCGCCGTGTTAGTGAAGAGTGGGTGGTGGTGACGAGGGACCCGTGGTGGTGACAAGAGACCCGTGGTGCTAGTGAAGAGTGGGTGGTGGTGACGAGGGACCCGTGCTGGTGACGAGAGACCCGTGGTGCTAGTGAAGAGTGAGTGGTGGTGACGAGGGACCCGTGGTGGTGACGAGAGACCCGTGGTGCTAGTGAGAGGTGGGTGGTGGTGACGAGGGACCCGTGGTGGTGACGAACGATCCATGGTGGTGATGAGGGACCCGAGCCACGAAAGCGACGGGATCTCTTCGCATCTTGAAAGCCCTTGCCGGCACAAACTGGGGCTTCTCCAAGGAGGATTTTATTGCCACCTACCGAACCATCACCCGCCCAATCCTCAACTACGCGGCTCCCATCTGGTACCCTGTCGCCTCACGCACAGCAATTGTCAGCCTTCAAACCATACAAAACACTGCACTACTGCACTGAGACCAGCCACCGGCTGCCTTAAAATGGCCCCGATCGCTCATCTTCACCAGGAGACCGGCGTCCTCCCTTTGTCCGCTCATCTGGACCTGGCTTGTGCCCAGTTCCTCGCCAGCGCCCTCCAGCCCTCCCATACCTCATTCCACATCGTTTCTGCTCTCCACGGGGACCGCCCCATGAAAGCCTCCATCCAGAGAGGCCAAGCGCTCCCTCCGCAGGGAGATCGCCTCCCGCGTTGCGGCGACTGACGCAATCAACGCCGTCCTCGCAGCCCCGCCACCGCCGATTGCATCAGTGGAGGCTTCGCTTCCTCGCTGCAGCTCCCTGGCGTCCTCTCCGCCAGTATCGGACGCTCCCCCATCTCCTCCTGCCCTGAGTGCGGGGATCCCTTCCAGTCCGTTCAGCACCTCTTCGTCTGCCCCGCCTTCCCCACGTTTCTCAGCGTCTCCTCACTGTGGGACAGCCCCGTGGAGGCAGCGACATTCCTGGCCACTCTCCCTGACTTCGCCTATCTCCCTCCTCTTCCGGTGCCTGCCCCCCGGCCGCCACCTGAGCCTCCCCCCGGCAAACGTGAAGGTCGCAACTAACAACAACAACAACGAGAGACCCGTGGTGCTGGGGAGACACGAGCGGTACTGGTGGAACAGGTGGTAATGGTGGGGCTGGTGGTACTGGTGACGGACACGACCGAGAGGTGCTGGTGAGGGACGCGACCGAGTGATGCTGGTGAGGGACATGGCAACGAAAACTTGAGGGTACTGAAAATGAAGCGCTTTCATACCTTATCTTCAAGTAGCATTTATTTATGTAATGTAATATCCATTGTGCAGTAAAAGGCGTCAACGTGTTTGGTCCACACAGCGAGTTCGTGGTGTCAGGAAGCGACTGCGGCAATGTATTCATCTGGAGTCGTGAGACTGAAGCCGTCGTGCGCTGCTTCCCCGCCGACGAGAACGGCGTGGTCAGTTCCGTGCTCATCCAAATTTGCTTACAGTAACTAAAACGTACTGTTCTTGATGTATTTATAAACATGCCGAAGAACAACATATTATATATGTATTAAAGCAACAGTTGGCCTTTGATGAATATTTTTTATGCTGTTGAACACAAACCGTTGAAAAATATGAATTATGCTCAACATTCGAATGATAATCTCTTAGGATAAGCATAAAAAATTATTCATTTTGGCTTCATTTATATTATTTTTCTTCACTTACGCATCCAACATCTGTCATTCATGTGCCACACTTGAAAGTTGTCACCTAATATGAGCTAAAGTGGAATTGAGCTGATAATTCTGCGATCATTCAGTCACTCGACCTATATTTTAACGACTGTTAAGAGATAGGGGAGCAATATACTAGCTGAAAAGCGACCCGTCAACGATTCATGTAAGTTACCTTATTTATTGTATCATTCACAAGGTAACCGCAAGACTTATCTGCTACAATCGACTTGTTGTTTATCAGGTGAACGTGCTGGAGTGGCATCCTCATATCCCGCTGCTGGCCACCTCAGGACTAGACAACGATGTCAAGATCTGGATCCCGTCTTGTGAAAAAGTGCCTAAAGATGAGAAGCTTGCTGAAGTAAGTATCGTACTCGCCTCAGTACATCACTTTTTTCTTGAATATTCTCAATTAAGATTATCTGCTGGTGTAAAGTATATATTAAATTACGGTAGAACGCACTACGTCACGCCCAAAAATTGGAATGTATAAAATAGTTAAGGTTAGTAGTTAGTAGTTAAGTCGATACAAATCAAATCCATTATTTTTTTTTACTTTTTATTAATCACTGGTATACAGTATATAATATACAAGGACCCTCGAAAGCCCTGCTCTCGCTGCGCCGATCACAACTTCCATCAATATTATTATTATTTACTTATTTTATTAGCTATGGCGTAAAAGTAGAACATCAGTATTTTTATTGATTGATCATTTATATTTTGCATTTGGGCAATAAATGTATTTTCGGCCTCTTTCAAGTTGTTTTCACCAATGAAATCTTTAAATCAGCTAAATTAAGATTTTTCGTATTGAGGGTTGAAAATTTTGTGTAAATATTTGCAGACAGTGGAGACAAACTTTCGTGAGAGGCGCAACAGCTCGAGTGATGTTATCGACTTCTCAGACAGACGCATGATTATGATGGTCTGGCAGCACATGAGGCGCATGCAGAGAAACAGGGTCAGTCATCATGTTGCATGATTTTTCTCGAATCTAATTCAACATATTCATTCCAAAAGTAAGTTCATAAACATTGAGGCGATATCGTTATTCGGATTCCTAGAGCCACTCTGGATCTGTAGAATTTAATTCAGTGTTCAATTCGGGCGTTGAAATAATAAATAAATATCCATTCCTTATTGAGCCTTCATGTCGAATTCTAGGTTTTTTTTAATCACATCCCTTTAGTTGCTTCTAAAACTGTTTAAAGCGATGTGCAATCTCGACCATCAACACTGGTAAGAGAAAAATCATTAATTTTTTATTATAACCTCCAAATTATGATTGTTGTCAGGCTAAAATCACCAATTACAGTTTATTTAAAGAAATGAAGCCGAGTAGACTCAGACTACACAGCTGCATCACTCACAGTTGTAGGTACCTAGTTTAGGTGCTGTTGTACCGATGTAGTCCAACGAGGATTGAAATTGTGAGCCTTTAGATATGCGTACTGTAAATTTCTCTCAATTGTTATTAGTCTAACTTATTCAATTTCTCGAAGTTGTGGAAGGTTGAGTGTTGTATTTTTGTCAGTCCCTAATTTTTCTATGGGCCCCATTCTTCCGTTCCAGTTCTACTCTAAATACCTTGGACCTTGGAACACCTTTAAATAAATTAAGTATCGACAGTAAATCAGTTTAGACCGTTGCGTTTGTCGCCGTTCACGCAATCAACTTCATGTGCATTACCAAGCAAGCAGATTTTTTATACTTTATTGGATAATGCATTGTATCCTAATATCCACCGATAGGACTTTTACCACTACAAGTTTACTATTAGTTCAACTTTTAACTTGTGTTTCCTGTATCAGGGGGGCGATGATGCCGGCAGTCGTCGCCGAGATGACGAGGATGCAGACTTGCCTCTCGACGATTCATCGGACGATGACGCCTTCGGTGGGGCGGGGGTACGGCACTTGCCGTGTACGCCGCAGTAGTGGACTGCTCTCCTAGGCGCTTAAATGAAGCTCGGTATTGCGGTCTGCGAGAATAATTCATCATGGAACTTAGGCTTTTATTGGTGGGGGTTTACTAAGCAATCCTATTCTTCTTGTGTGCTTACTTCTTCTCTATTAGGATGACGAAACAAGTTCAATGAACATTGTGATTAAAGCCAGCGATTATTTTGTTTTCATCTAGTTTTCCAGTTACATGTGGCCGTAGCACGACCTCTGTTCAAGCGCAAGTTATTCTCTTTGTAATTAAATCGAATATGATATTCGAAGCGCCAGTCGCTCGTGGTCACTCTATAGTTTCCTTCACATTTGGTCGATTCATTTTCTCTTGTTTGCAATGTTGAATGGTTAGCGCAGCTATCTATTTAATTAATTACTAGCAATTATGTCGTGAGCCTGTTATTGTGCTTTATAGTTAAGAATTTAATAATCTTTTTTATTTTACTATGAAGCAAGCTTGCCTCTGAACTATTGGCAATCCAACTAGAATTTATTGGAATCTGGGGCACGCATATGTTGCTCGAGTATTCATTGATATTTCAGCACTTGAGTCTACTTGTATAAATCACCGTTGTGACCAACAATATATTATAAAGCACTAGTCAGGGTGTCTATGGCACATCTATTACACTTTCCAGATTTCATGTATGAGGTTATCAGTTGAAATTTAATTTAAATTTGGTATTGACTAAATTACTTGAGAAAAATGGCCAAATCAAGAACGATTCCAGCTTTCATATCTCCAGTTACTCGATGAACAATCTTACAGTTACTCTTTAAATGCTTGAATTTTCGTACATTTTGACGAGGAGCTCTCGTAGTTATGTTGATGTCATAAAAACGCATACCCTATTTCTGAACCATCATTCAATATTTGTTCCTATCGAACGCTTTTTCAAGGGGATGTTGCTGTAATTATTCGTTGTGAATAATAAGGCAACAATCCCGACTGGAATAAAACTTGTGTTATTTTAAGATTTCTTGAAATTTACATAGGTTTAATATGAGCTAATGACTATGAATATGATTCCTGACATCCCCATTATAGCTCCTCCCACAATCAATTTTGACTAAATTGGTGTATTTTCGGATATGGAATATACTCTGATTTGCTAAGCATTCAAAATATTTAGTTTAGAAATTTATTCTTTTTCTACAGTAAAGGAATGTGCAATTGAACTCGAATTATAGACGTCTCTTTAGACGTTAAGTCATTCTAGTATTTTCGTCTTTTGCGCGAATTACTTTAAACATAGTTATGGATTTTTAACGAGCCGCCGGAAGGCGTAACATCTGTGATATGTAATACATCGGTGGTTTATTAAAAGGTCAATAGACATCAGGTACGGTTATTGGCGCTTTAGTTTGGATCCTGTTCTGTTCCGTGTATCGCTAGCTTGTAACGCGAGTAATTTGTCAAAGCGCTCGGCAGTTTGTCAAGGCTGTCATAGTCATAAGGAGTGATCAGCCGATGACAAAGATGGGTGAAGACATAGTTAGTTGTAACATTGAAAAGCTTTATGCTGAAAACGTCTTGATACACCGAGAGCTTTCGAATGTCGAAAATATCTGGTTGGCCATGTTTTGTGGATGTAATTATATGCTACGCTATGACAAGGTGATGTTACTCTTTGAACTGATGAAGCAAATGAAAAGTACAAGAAAGTGCGTAACCCGGCAGTATCTTGTCAGGAAAAGGCTACGGAGTTTTTAAAATATTGTTATGCATGTTCGAAGCTCTTGGGTTTATGTGATATGTCCTGTCCATTCTTCAGCGAGAATATTAAATACCAAGACAATTGTTTTCTCCCTTTCCGCATATGGCTGCTTATTTGCGTTTCGGGCGGATTTGGATGTTCAAAGTTAACCTACTCTGAATATTCGTAGGCGCATTACCTCTTGCATTGCACAATATCTGTTGAAAATTCGTTGCTCGACATTTTTTTGAAACAATACGGAAAGGCAGTCTTTTTTTGTCAAGACCCGTTTTTGCTAACTAATGGCCTAGTCTGCATCATACTCAGCTTTGCAATTAATATATGAAAACGATTTCTTCTAGTATTAAATGCCGTTTCTACTTATTTTTTCCAAGTGCACGCAATTCAAAGTATCAATTGGCTAAACATGAACATGGTTACTCTAGTTCTTAATGCACTAAAATGTTCTCAATTTGAAACTACTACAAATCTCTATTACTCTTAGAGGCAGATGAAAGTTGGTTAATCGCTTCACACGGAGCCTCCTGCTATTACATGGGCATTGCACCCAGTTGCTGTTAAGAATCAAGAAAGTTAAAGGTTACTCTTTATTTGATAATCTGTATAATTTAACATTTTGCTTAATGTTAGACTGGCAGTGCATGCAAGTTATAGTATCAGCAACGTGTACCAGTTTCACTTAGCTCCTGCTTACTGTTCTCTGATTTTCGTGTCATTAATTCAGTTCATGTAACAATAATAGTTTTTAAACAAGCCTTATAGGCAAGAAGACGAGAAGTAATTTAGTGGCGTCAAAAAGTATTGAAACTAGATTATTAAAATATAAATTGCAGATACGAATTTATCAGAGTCCATTAATCTGAAGCAATCGTTGACAGGAATGAAACAATTTCAGAGTTAATGCAGAGCGAGATGGTGATACCTTTCACGTTTGATGGTGAACAATTGTCTCTCTAGTGGCACAGTTATGAAGTTATATAAAGCTACATAATTCAGACAAATCCATACATCGATCCTTCTATTGACTACTCTACGGTTAAAAAATATTATGGTAAATATCTGTGTAAAATGGACTGGAGTGAGCCTCAGGACGCAGCAAAACTCAAGTCAAAAGTGACAAGTGAAGATAGAAAAGATGTAAAAAAACACTAGTCTTTTCCATATCGATAGTGGGTTGCGGAGATAGGTAAATTATATGTTAAGTTTACAAAAGTTACCTACTCAAGGCCAACTCAAAGCTGTCGGAGTTATTGGAACGTTTGAATGCAGCGACGCTAAGCTAAGGCCACAACACTACAGCGCGAGTACTCCATATATTTTAATCACGCATGCAGCAAATCCAAGAAGAGAGGAAGGAACATTAATGCTATAAGGTACCATTCAGGTTAGTCAGATGAAGCCTAACGACTAAGACAAGAGTTCCAGACGGTTATCTTCCCATCATACTAGCTTACTGAACGAAATTGGTTACAAAACTAATGCGTACTAAAATTGGACAGTTATGGGTAAATGAATTATTTTGGTTTAGAAGTTCACGATCAATCTTGAATTAGACGTTCCCGGTTAATCTTGGATTAAAAGGTAACAGGTAGTTAGGAAGTTTCTGTGATGTTACCTACACATTCAAGTGCGGTCTTGGACAACCAAATACTGTAAGTTAAACACAGTGAAGCAAGTAACGATTATCCATACTAAGAATTTCGCTCAAACTTAAAGGAAATAACAAATGCAAGAAATACTGAACTACTATTTCATCCCAAGATGAGGATGAATAATACAATAGATAAAAACGGTATCGAGATGAATCCACGATAGAAAGTGTGAGAATCTGAAGGCCTTCCTTCACAGTAATTCAGTGCTTCATTCATTTGCTGTTTGACAACAACAAACAACGAAGGATAAAAACAATGCCCCTGAAAGTCTTTGGAACAAATGCCACAGAATGAACGAAGCAATATGATGTAAGTATCCCATTTGTTACACATCAATCAAAATTAAAACAATGAGTGTCTAAATTTTACTGTTATAGGTTTGTATACATGCCAAGTTTGCCGGTTTAAAAAAGTATGATTCCATATTTCATCGTGAAGTAAACATTTGTTCAAAATTTGCTATCAGATTATAGTGAACTTCACCAGCATGAATTCTAAGTGTTTCCCCGCTCTGTGTCTCTTCAGTTAAGAATATCAAATAAGAGAGAACTCAAATTTCCTTATAATGACGACCATGAGTAATTTTCAGGCATAATAAACGATAATATTTCCATGCAGTAGAAAATGCATGCATATGCAGTCGCAGAACTCAAATGCAAGATGACTTTTCCATCAATCAACAACTGCCGTCTGCTGAGTTGACAAAACGCCAAACCATAGCACACCACATAAAAGCTGGTAAGAGTAATTACGATATATTCAAGAATACTCATAAAAATTTGTGACATGTCATACAACTAGTATGCATACAGACACAGTTAGTATCATATCTGTATATATAAAATATATTTCGGTGCGCGAAATATTGCAAGCTTATCCGGCTAATTCGGGTTGCGTTCACAACAAAGTTGGAGAAAGGATAAAAGTGGAAGATGTGCTAAATAAACTTGCAGTTGTGTATGGAATACAAAAAAAGATGACTTTCCGTTGTGCACATTAACAGAAGAATTACTCGCAAAAGTAGGATAGCATTGGCAAGGTCACAAGACATAAGTCGAGTTACTGCAGACTCAATACAGAGGGCGAGCAGGCGTGGCAGGGACCCTCATCCGAGTCCTCCAACCTACACAGTCCGCACAGGCTGAAAATGCAAAAATTAAATCAGTTCCTCACACTAATACTGAAGAAACTCATAGGCACACAATGCAAGAAACGCCTTATCATTCTGACGAGCTTCATTATATTACGTGAAGATTGTTTTAGTGAAGGATACAGGTGAAGTCTAACAACGATACAAAGTGAAGTGAGGAGAAAAAGACATCTAGAAGAGACACTTATAGATTAAACAAGACAATTAAAATTCAGTTCGAGTTTCATTAACGTTCAGACACAAAAGGAAGGATCTAGCATCTATGTCGACTGCTCTATGAATATCTATTCTAAGAGGACAGTTTCGATTCAATGGACAGACTACATTTACAACTAAGATCTACTCACACTGACTAGATGGCAGCTACTGCCTAATACTGTACGGTCAAAAACCCTACAAAAATGGACGTCAGAAAATGGAACGGTCACATTATTTTTAAATTATGAAACGTGACTAAAGTCAATCATTTTATACATAAACGACATAAGTCTTAGACATGAAACGAGATAAATAAAAGATGCGCAATCACGTACGAGCAAGAAGGTAAATGGTTCATGGTTAAAGACACATAGGAAGGAGAACACACATTAGTTAGTTCCTTCTTAAGATTATTTTTACTTTGATCCCAAATAACCTTATATGTTACAGAAGACTTGCCTCATTCTGCATCACACATTTTCCCACACGCCGTTGGATAAGAAAATTTTCGACTAAATTAGCGTTTAGATGAGACAGTTGCTAAATAATCATACAGAAATCAGAAAGGCACATTGATATTCGATTGAGCAGATGTTGCCGCATATGAAAATTCACTTACAAATCCTACGCTGGCACTTCATCCAAGGCGTCAGTTGTTTAAAATCTTTTGCACGTCTCAAAACATTGCAATAATTTCTGTCAAATATTTCGTATATGCGCTACAAACAGAAGCAGGCTACCACTATTTCCAGCGGGGAGGTTTGGCCGCCTTAGGCTTAGTACCTCCAGTTCCAGAATCACGACTGCTGTCTGAGGAGCTTCTGTCAAGGGCGACTCGGCCGCTAGCAGCGCTAGCAGGTCTACTACCTCGACCACTAAGGGCGCTAGGAGGTCTGCTGTCATGAGTGCCTGTGCTGCTTAGCGCACTGGAAGACCTACTCGCTCGACCGCTTAAAGCACTCGGTGATTTGACCTCCTGACTTCCACCAGTTATGCCTAGAACACTCGTAGGCCTGCTGCTCCGATTGCTGGCAGAATCATAAGTTACGTTCTTCGAGTCTCTAGTTGTAGATAATTTTGAAAGAGCTTCTCGATGAGCTGAGGCTCCTTTAACACTACCACCGTCGACTCCCTTCCCTTTCATCGGGATTTTCAATGGAGCGCTGCTTCTTTGTTCGACGCACGAGTGCGAAGGCCGTGGCACAGGAGTGGCAGTTGATCCAAGTGGCTTCGAACGAGACTCTGCAATCGTTCCTTTTGGGACGGAAGTCTTCATTGCAACAGCAGCTGGTTCAGCTGTATACTTTGCAATCAACGATTTGGGTTCTCTGGCATTCTTACCAACTAATCTGGAATCTCCGGATTCTCCACGTTCACTTGTACTCCCATGACTCAATTCAGACTTCGAGGCAGAGGACGTTTTTGCACTGCGTTCTGCAACAACCAAATTACTCTCTTTTCTTTCTGACGAGCCACCCACTTCTTTAGCATTCCGCTTCTGTAAGACAGTTTCTGCACTGCTTGACTCGCTGCTTTTATCGCAACTTTTCTTATTTTCGTCAATAAATTTATCAATATCTATCCCAGACTCTTCGCAAAGCTTTGTCAGATTTCTCTCCATCTCTTCTTTGACTTTGGACTCAACTTCCCTAAGAACAGTTTCCATTTCCTCGCCAACTAAAGAAAGAGGCTTAGTTGCACTTTTGTCTGGTCCTGCCAGAACCTCGTGCTCCGACTCGCTACAAATAGCGCTTCCACTTTTAGCAAACTGCACAGTGTGAGCTACCCAACTATCCACAATCTTCTCCTTATTCTTTTCAAGAAGAATATCACTGAGGCGAACTACTCGAGTTCGGGCATCCTCAATGCCTTCTTCGTCTTCAGTGCGTCGCTTAGGTCTTGGAGACGTTCTGGGCTCATATTCTAGGCTAGCGTGTTCTTCTCCCTCTCTATCCTCGATTATTTTGCGGTAAGAAAACTTTTTCTTGACATTCAAATGCTTGGATTCTCCCTGGCCTTCGAGTACATTCTCTGAAGTCTGGCCTAACAAAAAACTTCGCCTCAATTCTTGATTTTGTTCCATGGAAACGTTCAAGTTTTCATCAGCCCGCATTACAGCCGATGATGTTTTGGTAGCTTCTGTGCGAGTCTTGCGTGGGCTAGAAGGTAATAGAGAGCTACTACCTTTCTTTAGTATAACAATGCCAGACTTCTCGAGACTCACAGCTCGTTTTGCCGGAACGGGTTTATTGCGAGGAGCCACAGGCGGCATCTGACTGTCAGCAGCCTTTGACGAGTGCAACCAAAATCCACCGGCAGTCGTGTTTTTAGCTTTCTCAAACTCGTCAATATCGTCATCATCTGTGGAAGACTTCCCTGTTGCTCCCGAAAGGTCAGGCGGAAGACGACTCCAGTCAGGCTTAGATGACTTCTTTGACCGATAAAACGGATCAAGAGTTAGGCTAAGCGGACGTTGTACAGCCTTCAAGCCCGTTGTTTGAGCCCACCTACCTCCAAACGCCAAATTCCTACTGTTTGCAACATCATCTCCTACAAATGACCCTTCACGATGATTGATATCATCTTGAACCTTTCCCATAGAAGAGCATCGAGAGCGGTAAGGTCTAAGAGCCCAAGAACCAAGACCCTCAGACTCTCGCCTATCGAGGATTTGCCACCACGCAACACAGAGATAGCTAGAGGCGTGTTGCGGGTGCCGGGAATGTACTGGGTACATCATAGGTCACCCCACCTTCGCCACGTCAATGCCGGTCATCTTATGGACCATCTCAGGCACGCGGCTAACGATGTCCATCACTTCTCCAGTGAGCTTCGCGGCGCCCACTTCGCTCTTGCTGCTGCTGATCATCGTGATCTTCTTAGCCTGGCTCAGAGGAGCTGCCACCTCAGCTGCAATCTGACAGCAACCATAAAAAAGTTAGATGAAGCATTGTACAATACTATATAATATAATAAACTGTACCATTATACATAGTGATATTTATACGATACTATGATATACTTCAAAGTAATTACAAAATAATTCAAAGAAACCTTAGGCAATGTTTGGAGGTAGAGATCCATCATAGCAGCCTCCTTGAACTCCTTCCAAGCTTCAGCTTTCTGAGCCATGATGCTGGCTTCGGCTTTAGCTTTGGCTTCGATGGCGGCGGCTTCAGCCTCCCCCTTCACCCTGATGGCTTCGGCTTCAGCTTCAGCCTCCAATACCAGTCGAATGCGCGTTGCCTCGGCAATTTTCTCCAACCTTTGAGAGGTATTTTATTTGAAAGATGGAATACAAAACAGTTCAGAAATTGCTTTCATACCAGAATTTTTGTTTCTACACTAGGAGAGAACTTATCCTCCCGTTAATACCAATAAAGTTTCAATTAAGCTAACGATATCGGCTTAGAGAACATCATCAGATGCGAAGCATTTAGGTGAATAAATAGCGAGCATGAGTTGTTATTTGATATTTTCTGCGGTTTAAACTTAAAGGAACTGCATGTAAATGGATGAAAAAAACTAAAGTTTATACAAACTAATAACTCATCGGATCTGCAAATGATTTGGTATCAACAGAATGTCAGAGAACTAGGACCCATACAAGGTCATAGGAGGTAACTAGTCTTGCATACTGGCAGAACAATCCATTAATTGATCAAATGAATCCAATATTACTGCATACTCAGCTGAACTGATTCATTGTACAAAGCCGTACACTTTACATAAGAGAACATAATACAACAATAAATAAATTGTAAAAATATATAATAATAAGAGTTACAATTAATAAAAAATAGCAAGACTTAGTTCCTTTACCAAGATCATCATGAGCCAACAATGCACGTATTCCACAACACTGGAAGAAATATTGAGCCTGTAAATTTATTAAAGAAACATACAAGTTAGTCAAGTTTGCTACCTGAACTTCTCAGCCTCAGCAGGCTGCTTGACGGTACCCTGAAGTTCTTTCTCGCGACGCAAGATCTCTTGGTTCTGCAACTGAACTTCTTGGGCACGTTCAACCACCTGAAAATTTTCAATTAAATCATGTAATGAATCAAATGCATCTTAGCACAACGATAAATGAAGGGGTTACATTTTTAAAATCTAATTAACCAATTATAAATTAGAATACTCCACACAAAAGTTGTGAGATGGCAGTCAAAAAAGCATGGTTTTTAGCACAAAAATCCCGAAGGAAGGAAAAATAGTAATAATTTTAAAGCCATTAATAGAGTAAATAGGATATTTTAATGCTTGCTAGAGATATATTTAATTGGAGACAAATGGGTACAACTTGACTTACAAAATGTTCAAACTAGAATAGTACAAATATTTTCCCTTTACCCAACAATTCAAGAAAAACTGGTCACCTTGATTTGCATTTGTTCTTCCTTGATCTTTTGGCGAGTTTTAGCCTCTTGCAGCTCAGAAGCAAGTTCGGCTTCTGCTCGCTTGGTCTGCACCTCAGTGTCATAGGTGGCTTTCTTGAGCTCAAAGTCTCGCTTAGCCTTGGCCATTTGTGTGTCATTGATGTACTTGGCGGCCATCCTTTCTTCTTCAGCAAGAGCCTCCTTCATACTTGACTCCTTCTTGGCCTCGGCTTCACCAATGCGAGCATCGCGCTTCACCTCTGCAGTTCGGGCCATACCTAGCGCATCGAGGTAGCCCTGTGTGCAACAGTTCTTATATACAACCAGTATAGAAAATAGATGCACCATCAAATTATAACTATACTACAAACAGATCATACACAAAACGTACAAACATTTTATGTGCACAACACATAGAGATAGTGAACAAACTGTTAGCGTATACAGAACTAATAGCATATAAATCAAGTACAGTAGGTATGTACGGTATTTTATCCCTGCATGCATGCACATATTATGTACCAAAACTGTGGATGACTCAAGTGCCTACAATGAATGCATAGAATTACCTGAATACATTAAAACTTAAATTAACAGAAAAATTCAGTACAACTCAGAGTATCATTCTTGCGGTTAGATCATCAAGACTCTAAATATTTCTCGCATAATGTTGAAGCAAATTGATTCTGGCCAGCACAATGCAAACAGGAATAGACAAAGTACCATTTTACAGAGATAGAAAGAATGATGTCTATCTATGTATGCATAACATAGTGTCTTCAAATATTAAATTAAATATTCAATAACTGGCATAAAATTTACTGACATTTGAAACACTCTGGTTAATGTTTCTATGCATGAAACGTACCATATTTCTTCTGTAAATTTATTAAAATTACCCAGGCGTTGAATATGTAGCACCCCCTTAACATGGCATAAAGAAAAGCATAGCTTCCCAGGATACATTGAAATTTTAAACAACAATATGCAGGATATAGTTTCTACTTTAAAAGTCAATGAAGGTAAATTTTCTACCAATATAACACATTACTGAAGATGTAATATAGAAAATTTTGTGAAAAAAAAAATCATTTTGGTACTTGCTATGCTTTATAAAAACAAACATCAGTTCCCATTCAATTCAAAAATGGATGCTAAATTATAAAGAAAGTTGGCTGCTCATCCACATGCCATGCAGAAGTGTGCTCAAGACAAATGAAATTATAATGACTGTTAAAGCAGTAAGTAAATCAAGATAATAAAAACGGATCATGATGTTTAGCAAGTAAAAATAAAAACTAATCATCCTTGTAATTATTTCATTTATTTTTAATAATAATTAATCCAGTTGACACTAATTGTAGGCTGAACTAGGTAAATTACAAGACAGTTATTTAGGAAGCACTAATAAATAAGCTTATTAAGCTAACGTGCACGTAACACGAGTCTGAAAGAAGCTTACTAAAATCACTATCTGGCATTTGATGCCTAAGGCATGAAGCATGAACAAGTAGGTATTTCAGTAAGCATTGCAACTTTTATTCATTAGGTATTCAAGTGGTAGCAGTGTGTGGAATAGTTCATAACTTGGGCAAGCATTTGATATTCACACCACATGCTGGCTGAGGGTAGCGGTGTATGGAATGGTTCTAAACTTGGGCAAGCATTTAATATTCACGCTATATGCAGACTAAATGGTAGTTTTTTTGTTAAATCAAGAACAAAATCTTTTATATTCGAGCCAATTAAAGGATAACATTGCTCAGCTGGACACTTCATCAGACAAGTTGTACCTAGATCCTTATCTTGATCAAAGTTTGCTTCTTTGAATATTTTGAATTGTTAAAAACCAAGTTGAACTAATATCACAACTGAATATAAGTGATCATAAAATTTTATCAACTAATTATTGCACAACACAGTGCATAACAAAGATTACAATTTTAATTTTCTGTTTACCAAAAAATGTCCATGGCATTCCTGCCCAGTAAAGGTTTAAGCATTTATTAATGAAGCGGGAGTGGGGCTCGCACTTGCAGCTCATTGAGTACTAACCTTAGCATAGCACCTCTGCAGGAGCATGGTAGGAATAGGAGAAAAGTGAAAACAAAATGCTACGGCACTCACCACTGATCAAATATAAAATAACAAGGAATTCTATGAGGCTGAAGGCTTGTAAATGGCAATAATTTTTAATAATGATGAAAAGCTAAAAAAAACTTGTATAAATAATTGAAGAATTTTGTGACATATATAGAAATCAGTAAATGGGATACAAAAACAGTTAAAGAGTACAGAAGTGATGTGTAAAGTAAGGTCTAAACAAACCACTTACAAATGATTATTCAGAGCTAGTTATAGTTAATAACATATTGTATTAAAAAATATTCTCTAAAAATCAAATAGAATGGTGTACAAGTTGTTTGGCAAAATTTACGACACCTGATCAAATTACTCTTTATTAAACTATACTATATACGTACCATTATTTCATATAGGTAGTTTTACTGTTATTCCAAGAAAGAAATAGTTATGTTGTACAATATAAAACTCCCCTTAACCCTCAATAAGTTAAAAACCCACAACAATAGTGCAAAAGTCTCCTTATATGCCAGGCTCAATTATTGCACAATTGAAAAAAATCGTTTTTAACCATGAATAATTAAATTAACAACGTTTAGTTTGAACCTTTGTACTGAAATTTGCCATTTACTACCGAATACAAAACATGCCTAATATATTTAAATAGATTAAATGATTTTCCTGGCTTTATAATGCATTACAAGAACACAGCATAACAGCCATAACTTGTTGAACTTCTCCAACATTAATAATGCTGACTTAATCTCATTTTCACTTAATCTCATTTTCAAGCTCAACAAATATAATACAAACTTTCTGATTAACAAAATAAATTAAGGAATGTAGCTATCAAATCAAAAACAGTAAAACTACCAGGAATGATGTTTCCAACACAAGCAAATATTGCATAAACATGTTCAACATTTGGTATTTTTTCCACATAATCTACTATCAAAACTAATAGAAAAACTAAGCGATTCGATGAAATAGTGATAAAAAAATGAAATGATCCTACCACTAAATGAAAGCATATTAATAATCCAAGCAAATGAGGTGTTGAGTGTTAGTGGGTAAACATAGGATAAAAATTAAGGCATGAGAAGAAATTTCCATGCAAAACACACAAGCAATGGTGCCATGAGGATCATTTAATTTGAATCATGCAGTGGGAGAGTTCCAAATAGATTCAGTATTTGAAGTATGAATAAATATAAAGCAAAGATGTACATGCAAATTATATATTAAGTATCAAAATTTCACAGTCCTGGATCACACGGAAGAAGAAATGGTGGGTCAAAGAAAAATTATGGCTCCAACTCTAGGAACCTCATCGTATGAAGTACATTTTCTCTTAATTTTCCACAATATCTCCACACAACAATTTTTATTTACCTGGTAGAATATGTTAGCACTAATACCTCAGTTATGCCAAGTTTCAATTCAATGTCTGATTAAAACATGGAAATTTAAAGTAGGTACGTTATTGTACAAATGATTATCAATATCATCAAATGCCAATGGCAAATTTTTGGCCAGCTGGAAAATTTTATTTGGAAATAGTTTCAGTAAATATATAGTTTATCAGGCACTAAACTTCAACACTGAGACTTCATATTGTATTCTATAAACTTGCGGTGAATTCAGTGTTCCATTCAGTACCAAATGTAGGGATTCTTAATTACCTCAAAAGTTTGCAATCATTTAACCAAACGAAAACAATTTGAATTCTACAATTTCCATTCTATCATAGATGGAAAATTTTTAAATCATAGTGGATTATAGTGGAAACAAAAGTGGGTTTGTCACTAATAAAACGTGTGCGAGTGGAACATAAGTAATGAAATATACAATCATAAAATAAATATGCTTGTAAATAAAAATGCATCTCATAGTTATACTTGTTCCATAATTGCGATAATGATGCACATGATTTAAATTAGGGGCCTAATTACTTGTATTAAATAGCAAGAAAAGCCTGAAAATTATAAAGCAATAAATTTATAAAAGGTACATTTAAGAATAATATATTGAAGCAACACAAAGGAGTGTTGAAATGACATAAGGTATGTCAAGCATGTCAGGTATTGCTTGACAGTCGCCTTCAGTGACTAATTATCTATCATACGCCACCCTCAGTGATGCTTTAAAGGATTGTACGTCTTGTCATAAGTAGCTTGCGATTCTACGCGGGTGGACCGCGATAGCTCTTTAAGACTCACAAGTCAGTTGTAGGAGAGACCTCCGAGCGTCCACAACTTAGTCCTACGCTCCGGCCCTCATTAAGCTTCTCTATCGAGCAGGCCGATTCCTTCCCTCTCTGAGATTGTATCCTCATAATGCCTATTGTAAAGTCATTAGTGAGTAAACTGTTCTGTATTAACTAGACTTTCACTCCTGCTATAGCCAACAATAAAAGATCCCGAACCTTCAGGTCCTAATCAAAGATAAACAATAACCAAGCCACCCAGAAAAAGTGGACGTGAGTCTTGAAGAGCTATCGCGGTCCACCCGCATAGAATCGCAAGCTACGTATGACAAGACGTACGATCTTTTAAAGCGTCACTGAGGGTGACGTATGATAGATAATTAGTCACTGAAGGCGACTGTCAAGCAATACCTGACAGTTATTTTGATAGGAGGAAATGATATGAATAAATGGCTAGAGTATAAGTACACTAGGAAAACATGGTGTATGGGCACAAGTAAATTTTGCGCAAAACCAGTAGTTAAAACCTACATAAAAATGAGAGGCAAATCACACAAAGCAATTTAAAGTGAAAAAAAAATGATAAATGACCATATCAAGGAGCCATAGCTGACACAGAGAACTTCAAGTAATAATGGGGTCCTATAACACACCTCATCATCATGAATATCCTTGAGTGTGTAAGAGAGCACAGTGATGCCCATTGTGACCAGATCAGTGGAGGCAACCTCAAAAACATTGTGGTTGAACTTCTTACGGTCCTTGTAGATCTCCTGTAAGTAATTCATCTCATTAATTAAAAACTAAAGCAACACATGACTTACTCTCTCCTGAATAGGCTTAATACTGTATTATTGATCCACAACACTCAAACTGAACACTCAAGTTTCCATAAAACTGAACATAGCCTTCTGAAATCCCTATAAGAATTCACAATAACTTTTTCAGCTTTTTAGCGCATTTTCTCATTTATGAAAAAAATGCACTATTGTGCTCGCCATGTTCGTCTGTCTGTCAGTCAGTCTGTCTGTCTGTCTGTCTATCCGTCAGTCCGTCTGTCCGTGACCTCAAGTTTTTGTCGACGAGAAAATGCGCTCTCTGTCACTCACTGCAGTGAGTACTGAGTTTTTTATTTCACATGAAATATTCTCGAGACTGACCTCAACACTCATGGAGCCCATGATGGCACGCTGATGTCCCTCAAGAGTTTCCAGGGCGATGGTGTGGATCTCTTGCTCAGTCTTGCCAAGGAACTGTTCACAAGCTGCAAGCAGCATCTCCTCATGCTGCCCCTGCACCTTCACCTGCAAACCCCTTTTTGTTATCAACACATTCCTCATGAATCAATGATGAGAATTCTATGTTGCTCTAAATACTTGTATTTTATTGATAGTTTTTTAATTAGGATTATGTATAGATAAATTTACTTAAAAGTGGATTTGGTAGTCTTAATTTGAAGGTGCAGGGAACAATCCTTAATTTTGACTTCCTAATGAGTATTAACAAATAATCTATAAAATAGTGTGGTCACAACAAATTAAATATGAAATAACTGGATTTCCCTGAAAAATTTTTTGATTTTTTTTTCCATTGGTTTCAATTTGATTTCAAATTCTTTGTAAAATCGTGCAAACCAATTTCAATCATTCTGATTTCAATCATTGTCTGTAATGGCAGCAAAAAGAAGCAAGCAATTTATTTTCTATCATTATTACAAGTAGTTAAGGTAAAAATTCTAAATTATAGGAAGTTCTGAACACACCTGAGCAATGCCTGTGACAGAGAGGGGCACACCTTGCGCAGTGTAGACTCGTGGGGACTCCACATTCAGGGTCATGACGTTGAGAGAGATCCTGAAGAAACGTTACTTACATGCAACAGCTAGAAATTTATGCAATTCTCATACACCAGACCAACTCATCATACATCACTAATCATTATTCAAATTAATAATAAATTTTATTGTTTAAATAGGCATAATTCAGGGCTAAATAGTCAACAAGTATTTAAATAACCTGAACATTTAATGCATATTGACTTATGTTTGTAGCAGTCTAATTTCTTTGTTTCTAATTGATTTTTCAGAAATAAAAGTCATGCAATTTCTCTGTTTCAATATTAATTATACATTTTCATACTAAATATTACAATTTTTAAAGAAGTTGAAAATGATAGTTGTTCTTCAGAAAATATTTGATTTAAATTACATTTGAACAAATTTGAAATAAAAAAATATGGAGTAAATAATGAAGCTAAAGCATCTAGGAAAGCATCACTCGACATTCAACAACATGATACAGATATTATAATAGGAATGAAGTGAAGGATGGAATGAAGCAGAAGGATACAATTACTATTACAATAGGAATGATGTAAGGATGGAATGAAGCAGAAGGATACAATTACTATTACAATAGGAATGATGTAAGGATAGAATGAAGCAGAGAGATACAATTACTATTACAATAGGAATGAGGTGAAGGATGGAATGAAGCAGAGGGATACAATTACTATTACAGTAGGAACGAGGTGGAGAATGGAATGAAGCAGAGGGATACAATTACTATTACAATAGGAATGATGTAAGGATAGAATGAAGCAGAGAGATACAATTACTATTACAATAAGAATGAGGTGAAGGATGGAATGAAGCAGAGGGATACAATTACTATTACAATAGGAATGAGATGTAGGATGGAATGAAGCAGAGGGATACAATTACTATTACACTAGGAATGAGGTAAAGGATAGAATGAAGCAGAGGGATACAATTACTATTACAATAGAATTGAGGTAAAGGATAGAATGAAGCAGAGGGATACAATTACTATTACAATAGGAATGAGGTGAAGGATAGAATGAAGCAGAGGGATACAATTACTATTACAATATGAATGAGATGTAGGATGGAATGAATTACAGAGATTCCTAAAGGATCAAGCACCAGTATCATTGTTAATTAAAACTATAATAGATCAAACATAATTAATAACAACTGTAGGTTCAAAATATTGAAAACATGGGATTAATTTTAGTCAATTTTCACGACTAATCAAAAAATTAACGCGTTCTAAGAAATCAGTGCAGGTGACATGTTATAATTGGATGCAGTTTCATTTAATAATCATGCAAGTTGGCAAAAACCAAGCAATGCGTGGTGTATCTAGTAAATTTATACTATAAATGACGTCATGCAACACTGGCCACATGCCATTTGCCAAGTGAAAATAAATTGTTCCCTTCAGTTTGCCTATTTGTATTTTCAAGCTTAATTATGTTGAAGGGGGAAAAATTCAGCAGTTATCAACACCTTGATATATCTTTACTCAAATTAATGAAATAATGCAGGATACTTTGACAATGGTAATAACATGAAACAAATCTAATAGGAATGGTTTTCAGAGTATTACGTAACATGCAATAATTCATTATGAAGATAATCATGTGGACTACCTACTAAAATAATCAAAAAAACAAATTAAAGCCAACATAAATTTTAGAACTTTTCAACATTCAACTGATTTAGGAATTTCAAATTTCATCAAGGAGTGGGGAAACTGGTCATAAAACAAGAATTCAATGGATTCCAACTTTGGCAGAATTTGACTTAATTTTCAGGTGATCATGAGAATGAAAATTAGTAAAGAGTACAAGATGATAGTTGGAATGTCTATGAAATGATTGCTTGGGTTTTATTTATGAGTGTCACAACTTAGGAAGAATGAATGATGCGAGACTAAGGGAGGAGGAAGGAAGGGACCAGAGAGGTGAGCTTGGTCAGGACACAGGCAGCTACCTCTGAACTCGCTGGATGGTTGGCCACACAAAGGCACGACCACCAGGCACGAGGAGGGGCTTTTTGTGACAACATCCTGTGAACAAAACCAGTGATGCAGCTATTGTGATGAACAATCCTATAACAATGTAGCAAACAAATGAAGACTTTAGCAGATCTTCTCACTTGGATTGCCTTCCTGTCTTCTTGACTACATTGGCTGAGAAAATAAATTCTCATCTAAAAATGCATTTGAAATGTTCTTGGGAGTAAATTAATTTGCATGATTTTCTGGTGATCCACGCAACTAAAAATGATGAAAGATATGAACATGGTTTTCAGCATCATGCTCATGAAGACCCACACATACCTGGCAAATAGCATGAAAGACATGGCCAAAGAAGTAGACGTGGTCACAGTTAAGCAATTAGTTGAACACAAGTTTACTGCAGGTGTAAGTGGTAACAAGTGCCTGCAACTCAAAATTAAGCATGTATGTTTGAAAAGTTTCAGCCACATAACTGTTCAAGCCCATTCACTCAAAATGAGCATTATTCAGGCACTTTGCATTTTCTCTAGATACGCCATCCATGGTGGAAATTCAGTGAACACTAAATCCTTGAATTAACTACCAGTTATGCAATAGTTTACATCATTCGACAATTTTGTTCAGCACAGGCAAGTGTTAGCCCTGACAAACTATTTCCACAAAAATTTGTAAATCATGATGGCAAACAATGCTCAAGATGTGTAAATAGGCCATCACATAAAATAGAATAGCATTGTTAGATTAGATACTATAGTTGAAAAATATTTAGAGTTCCAATATGAACTTCTGATGAAAAAATTTAGAAAGCAAAGATAAGTCAGCATTAAGATTGTGTTTGGGCCAGAGAACTGTTGTGAATAAAAAACATTCAACACCTCAGCCACCCAATCACAAATAAAATACCCAAAAGTACCTTGGTTTGAAGAACCCACTTGTACCATGTCATATTCATTAATCACAAGTTTATATAACAGTACCCTACAGGTGATAGTCAAAAATAAATGTTTTTGTGCGCAAATGTATTTAAAGGAAATTTTAACAAGAATTATTTTCTATCCTATAAATCATATTATTATATTTAAATTATTGCTTTTATTATTGAAGCCAAAAAAAATTTCTCTACATATTTATCAGGACAATACCAAGACAATAACGCATACTCGCAGCAAAATAATATGAATATATTTCCCCCATTTGCATAAATACTAACACACGAGTTAGTGACACCACATCAGTCTGCAAGCATCACATAACAAACAAAGTTTAGTGACACCATCACAGCCAAACTCTAGCCCCAGAAGACAAGACACGCAGATAAGACAAGGAGCAGGTGCAATTGAATTCAAAGCTGAAATCCGAGTATCTCTATTTTTTTAAAGCTAAGTGATTGAGATGCTGCAGATCAACATTACAGGCGCCAGAACCCAGTAGAAATAAAATGCACATTGTAGCAAGCACCAACAGATAAAATAGTGAAACTTTCCAGTACCTCTGTGCTTGTTGGAAGCATGGGAGCACAAAGGCTCGTCCACCTACTACAGTGTGAGGCATATTCCGAGGAGTGCAAGCTCCTGCAAATTAGGCATAAAAACCAACTAACTCATCAAACTAATTCAAATGATAAAACTTTTGTCTCACCAATCCCACAAAATTGACACAATCTTAAGTCCAACACAAAAGTCCATGGGTGAATTGATGGACAGCATTATGTGTCTTAGTTGCTATTAATATGCTATAAGTATGATGTTAAAAATTCACCTTTATTATAATGATTGATGACAGCTAGGCACATTGAGCAGAAATGTGCAAGCTTAATTACAATTTCATTTCAATTTTAGAAAATTACTTAAAATCCATAAATTTTCTTAACAAAATCATAACAAAAATATCAACTGCTTTATAAACATGATAGTAGGGCAGGGATAGTCAACAGTTGCCACATAGTGGCATTTGCAGCTAGCAGACAATTTTCACATTGAAAAAGTGAATTCATTTATATTCTAATTTTTATCACATAAAGGATAATAAAAATGAATCCAACATATTAGTGACTAATATTCAGCATTGGTTAGGGGCAATGGGCAGGTACCTGGTGGTCAATATTTCATGACTAAAGAAGACTTACAGTAGTAGTTAATTTAGAACCTTGGGGAACCACTGCTGTAGATGCATACTTCAAAAGATAGCATCAATGCTTTAATACTCAACTTATGTCCAACAAATTTCTGAAGAAAGCAAGTTAGTTACCTCCCCACACAAGGGAAAATGAATGTTTTCATGAAATTTTCTCATATGAAACAGGCCATATTGTTCAACTGAGAACAATAGAAAATAGATGCTAATGAGATAGAAAATTTGCAACATTTGAAGGATTCAAGAAGGTATTTTATTTATCAAAACCACCAACCCTCCACATTCAGCATGGCATGCTGGGATCAGCCAAGCAGCCATGTAAACCAATAAATGACAACCAATATAGTTACTTATACAATGCTATGAATCTTTTGTAATAAAACATATATACTATTGCTGTGTAGATATTACAACAGTGAAGCTACTCTAAAGCCACTTGAGACAGAAATCTAACATACCATATCTACTTTCAAACCCATAATATACTTGAGCTTTGCCACCATTTTAGGAGTGGCAAGATTCTTGCTAAAATGAATTATCTTTAATCAAATTGTTGACAAAAGTGCACAAATAAGCTGAGTTTCTAAAAAGATTGAAAATATACCAATTTAGAGCCATAAAATTTTAATAATAAATAGGACTCAAAAACTAAATTTAGTAGTCAACCATATACATGCTAAAGAAACATGATTATTTCCTTGCTGTTGAGTGCATTGACACTTGGGAATTAAACATGGTGAAAACCAAATTGTAGAAATGAAAATACAGTTAAATTTTATTATTGGAATACATATCTAAATTCAATTTTATTCATTTTTGGCTGGGTGCAAAATGCAAATAAAAAAATTAACTTTCTAACAGTCCCAACTCATTTGTGAAACTTTAATTTAAAAATTATTTTCCAAATCTTTTACTATAAAATGATGAGTCAAACAAATATTGATAAATATTTACTTAGTTTTATAGTAATATTCAAGATTTTTAACAAAACCAATGGAAAATATATTCAATGCTCAAAGACTGAAAAATAATAGGGTAAACGTGGTATATTCCGTAATCGTGGGTAATTCCGTCACCTCTTTAGTTTTTCCTTTATATTAAGCTTTGTTTTAGTTCCATGCGTTCGTTGATGGTTGAAATGGTGACGTCATACATTTGCGCGTCAAACTAATGCCAAAACACTAGATCTTGGCCATCTAGTGGGAAAATATTGAGATCCAAAGAGAGACGATGCACGCTACCCAGTGAGATCATCGAAAAATGTGTCAAATTTGACAGTTGACATGGCTCTACCAAATAGTGAATAACTGTTTTTATAGGAAGAATATTATGGTTTGAGACTTTTAAATACGTCTGTGAATATATTAGGAATCCTTTAAGTATACTTGTATTTGCTGATTTCAAGTGGTAAATAAATTAATAAATGATTAAGTTGAGAAATGGATTTATACACATGACAACTAATTCCGTCACAACTTGAATTGGACACACACAGATTGTTCCAAGCTGTGTACAAAAATTAAAATTTGCTTAATTAAAAGCTAAATAGTTGTTAATTAAAAGCATAATTAAGTAGTGTTCAATACGTATTCATTAGTGTTCTAATTCAAAGCCGTGTTGTATCCCAATACAGCTCACACAGCAAACGGAATTCGAACACGTGGATGTCGGCATTACGTATCAGTAGAATTTGAAGCGCGGACGTAATACGCCTCACCACGTGCTGAATATTGCCACACACAGTGACGGAATATAGGGATTTGGTAGGTTTCCATTCTAAAGGCTTTTAAATGAATATGGCAACATATTGTGACGTTTTGTTGTTGCTGGCGCGTAGTACAGTGTTTTGCAATTTGGGAGTCAAATAAAGCAAACAGAACTCGAGTAACGCATACGGTTATTTTTTTAAAGTTTTCCATTTCTCAATGCGTCCTTAATGTGACGGAATATACCACGTTTACCCTAGGCAAAAAATTTATTCACAGACACAGGTTGAAATATTAATTCATACTCATTCTCATTGTCATAGCAAAGCTTGGATTTCTTTTCAGAGGCACAAAATCAATATAGGCTAGGACGCTAGGTACTAAATACTAATAGCTTCAAGCCTTCAACCTTCAAGTTCACAAACCCAATACTACCCCTGTACCCCAATAGGCTAACTATCAGTCTAGGTATCTGGACTCTGGAGTGTGAATATTTTTTGCATTTATTTCAAAACCAAAAAATCATAGGCTAATATAATTTTCATTGTGTACCTAACTAAAAGTGGTATAAATAAATGCCATACTAGGCCTATCTGCCAAATAAATGATGTGTTGTTGACATTAAAATTAAAGGCAATGTAGTTTTAAACTTTTATTTTTGTACACATATTGTAGTTCAACAAAATCCATCACTTCGATAAGGCGCTTCAACTTTGTAGCTGTCATGGCCAGTGTAAAAAAAAAAAAATATTCCCGGCACCGGAGCCAGCGCAAAGAAAACAATTTCTGAAAAACAGGATATTTTAACATACCCAGACATTTGGCAATGATAGACAAGTTAACAACCATTGTACCTATTTAGATAACGAGTTTTATATTTTACTAGCCAGATTATTATACAAAATGAAAATTTGAATACGGCTCAAGTACCAATATGAAATTTTTAGTAACTGAGAGGCTCATTTTGTCTCTAGTGACTCTCTACCCTCAGGCTAAATGAGTAAAAATGCCGCTACATACTAACATAGCGAAGGAGGAAAACTTTGTTAACACCTAAGAATCGTCAAGTAAATGAAAGTTAGATGTAAATTCAAACAATTAACTAACCTGATACGACAAGAGCTTCATTGGGTCCACAAGTAACGAAGCCCCACACCATTTTTCAGTCGTTTTTGGCAGATTTTGAAGAATACTAAACACTACAACTACGCATCTCACACCACACCCAAGCGACTAATAGCAGACGACAAAATGTGGAACTTTTCGTAGATTGAGTTGACATTTCAGAGCGAGCATGCGCAATCAAGGCCTTCCTATAACGTTCATTAGACTAAAAATTAAATTCTTCTCTGCAGGCATGAATAATTTTAGATTTCTATAATAAGTTAGTTGAAAAAGCTTTAAAAGTATATATATAAATATATATAAGTGTAGGCCACATCAGGCCTACACTTCAGCGCCGACATCACTATGTTATCACTATGTTATAAGCAATTTTCCTCCTTTAATAATTCATAAATCAAGTGTCTCAGTATATAGAAGTAAATAGCTGCATCTGTTAAAATTTATAATGTCGCTATGCAATTATTATTGACAATTATAATTAAATTTCATATGATTTTCTACGCGCCGTGCTCCTATTGTATACAACTACAGTTTCCACCTCGATAAATAAATAAATAAATAAATAGCGGGTTCAGTGTTTAGTAAGCCGTAGGCCCGTCGGCGATTCTTAACATCGCAGAACATTCACAGCATTTTACGGTCTCGAACTCGCAACTCACTGCTTCAATTCAGCTGTGCTTAACCGCCCGGCCTCCTCGCCCATTCTGACCAGAAACTGGCGCACAGAGCTGAGATCGAACCCGCACCTCTATGAGCCAATTTTGGTACTCTGAAGTATTCCATGAAGTTCCATCCCTGGGCACCCAGTGGTTAGGCAAATTTCGCAAAAATACTTTAAACCCCCCCCCCCAAAAAAAACAGTGCCAGTTATCCAGTAGCTTGACCGAATCGACACATCTCCGAACTCTTCCGTGATCCGACCAGTGGACTCAAATGCAAAACGCGACCCTTGCTAAAATAGGCTCAGATATAACTATTGAAATGCCCATAAGGTGCTTGTACACGGAGGGTTTTGCCCATGTTTCTCTTTGCTAAGCTTAAGTCACCGGTTGACCAGCCCGAAGAAGACATCGACAACAATGCAGCCTATATAGCTGCACGAGTTGCATTATTATCAGTATATAACCCGACTGAGACCATTATTGCAGCAAAACTAATCGATATTAAACAGGGTGCGACACTGGCACAAATCGGGAAATTTGTCCAGTAAATCATGCCTAAATCCAAATCAGGATTTAAGCATAAATCAGGGCCCAACAACTGGTTGGCCCAGTGGCTAAAGTTCAGCTGAATCGGCTTGGAGGCCGGGCGGTTAAGCAATGAAATTTTGAAGCAGTGAGATGCGAGTTCAAGCTCGCAACAAGCTGTGGATGTTCTGCAATATCAAGAATCGGCGACAGGCCTACGTCTTTATAAACGCTAAAACGCTATATAGGCCTACGTCTTTATAAACGCTATATATATAACGCAATACTTGCAGTATACAAGTATACTCATGGTCTATACAAGGTCCCTGAAGGGTTACTAGAATTTGAAACAAGAACCAACACCAGGGGCCACGGCTATAAGCTAAAAAAAACTGCGCTGCAACTTCTCCACGCGACAAAATTTCTTCTCGTTTCGCATCACCGACATGTGGAACAGCCTCCCCGATGACATCGTTGGCGCTCCAAGTATGAACGCGTTCAAGAACAGACTAGATAATGCTATGGAAAAATATATGTTCAGATTTGAAATGCCTAGCTCCTTATCGAACCCGGTGGAAGTCTAGTAGCTACTTCAAACTATCGTCAGTCATGAAAAGATCCGGTCAAATGACACGATTTTAGATCTTCTATGAACAAGGCATGAAAAGGAAAAGAACCGGCGACAGGCCACATCATCACTATGTTATGTTAAGTTGTTACTTGTTATGTTAATAATCCTCAATACGTTATTTCAGAATCAGTTTGACGGCGATTTGAAAAGTTATCAGCACTTCATTTCCTCAATTCAAAAAAATGTACCCAATTTAGTACAGTGCCGGAAATGGCTATACGACCACCCAGTTTTCTCCAAATATTATTTCTTGCACAAAAAATTATGGGATTCTAATTATACGAGGTTAAACTACGTTTAAAACGGTTCCAACGCTATGCGAAAAAAATAATTTTCTCAAGATATATGAGAATAAATTATGAAAATTAGAAAAACCTAGGTGGAAATGGTTATAAGACCAGGATAGGTTTTTCTCCGTTTTGGTATCTTTCTGTATTTTACTTTAAAAAGTACAGCAATATAAAGAATATATTGATTTTCGTCATTACAGGCCTTTCTGGTGTACTTCTGGTGTAGTTCAGTGTCCACACTTATATTTTCTCGAAGTAAAAAATATGCCAAATGAGACAAGACTCACTTAGGCCGAGAACACGCAGTTTTCACATTTGTGAAATGCAGTAGAAGCCAACGGGACATCGAAATGGGAATAAAACGCTCAAAACCCATTGCACAATCATTTTTTTGCTAATCAGGGCGGCTACGGGTGAAAAAAGCACACTGGACCAACCCCAAAATTAACCGACATGGATCTTAGGAGACTGTTTTCTGAGGCTTCTAAAACTTGCGCTACCTCTACTTCTATAAAATTGGCCACTTGAGTTGATGTGACAGCACGACGCATTCGTTAGACATTGCATGACTCGAAGAAATTCGAATACATGACGAGGGAAAAATGCCCCTGTGCTCCAACAAAAACATATTATCAACCGACAAAAATTTGCTGAAAAATATTTGCTTATTGGTAAGAGATGGCACAAGATTACCTTCAGTGATGAAAAAAGTTCAATCTTTATGATCCAGATGGATGGCAATACTATTGGCACCACTGGACCGTGAGCCTGACTTTTTTTTCAAGCGGCAATCTGGTGTTGGTTCGGTCATGATTTTTTAGGGCGCTTAGCTGAAAGGGAAAATCAACTCTAGCCATTTTACATGGGAGACAAGATTCCGAGGCTTACAAGCACACGCTGTTTTACCAACTTCTCCCTTTTGCCGATGAGAAACATGAGGGAACATATGTTTTCCAACAAGACAATGCTTCGATTCACACCTCAAAATCGGCAAACATGTGGTTCCTAGAGCAGAATATTACTCTGTAGCCGTGGCCGGCGCTTAGTCCTGAACTCAACCCCATTGAAAACTTATGGGGCATCATGGCGAGGGATGTTTACCAAAATGAGCGCCAGTTTCAATCTGTGAGTGACCTGAGCACGGCTATCCTTCGTTCTTGGGATAAAATTTCTCAAAAGACACTGAATTATATGGTAAATAGCGTGGGGAGAAGATGCATTGAGGTAATTATGGCGAAAGGAGGTGAGATTGCCTATTAAAATGAGTGTATGTGATCCACAAACGGAAAAACATATCTTGGTCTTTTAACCATTTCCACCTAGGTTTTTCTAATTTTCATAATTTCATCTCATAGATTTTGAGAAAATTATTTTTTTCGCATAGCGTTGGAACCGTTTTTAAACGTAGTTTAACTTCGTATAATTAGAATCCCATAATTTTTTGTGCAAGAAAAAATATTTGGAGAAAACTGGGTGGTCGTATAGCCATTTCCGGCACTGTACACGTATTACTATTTACATGTAGTACACTTCTTGCACTGCCAAGAGAGCCATCACAAATTTGATCGGTTGATCGTTATTGTTTTAAATTCTAAAATGGGGACCTAGGTCCCATCACGCAATAAGAAACATTGTTATTTCTACGAGCCTTACAGTATTAAGAATGCTATGAGTGGTGAATATTGGTTGTTAAAAGTCTAATTTGAAACGCCCCGCCTAATTTGATAGCCTTGCTCTCTGCGATTACCAAAAAGTCATCAACGATACTCAAGCATTTCCAGATATGACAAGCAGCATGAGTGAGTTAGCATCTAATAGTATCATCTGTCAACAACAGAAACATATTCTTGTTTTAGTATTGAGAAGTCACTTAAGAATGAGAGGATACAACTTTGAAAACACAAAATTTTCCGGCAGATCTGTCGTTTAAGTATTCAAAGTTCCAACTACAAAATTTGTGATTCTATTTCCGTGGGAAGTCAAAACGGGAGTGGGCTATCAAATAATATTCTCAATATTAGAAAAACGTTCAGGGACATATATTTATGTTTGAAACGTTCTAAGGATTCATTCATGTCCACTAAAAAGTAAGTTAACAGACAGAAACTGAAAAGATAGCGGTGATGAAATTGATTGGGTGGTTGAAGTGAGATTAATTTTCTGTTAAGTAAGCCCAACTTACGCCACGTGACCCCCAATGGGTACTTAGTATAGTATCTTCGGCGTTAAAGAATAGGCCTGTAAAGGACTGTCGCGGATTTGCTGTAGCAGTGAAGTAGTGTCCACAGGACGTGGGCGACGAGGCAGAGAGCTCTCTCCCAGGCGGCGGTAACGAGATAAGTCCGCGTGCGTAGCGTGGTGTGGTCCAGCGACAGTCGCAAGCGGAGAGATGTGACGGGGTAGCATCCAGGGAGCTGCCACGAATGAAACGACGAAGAAACTGAGCTAGTCAGAGGTGCAGTCACGCAAGGTGCGACGAGGCAGCAGAAGGTCCCTTGACGGCAATTACGAGAGGAGCTACGAAGCGGCTCCACGGGGTAGGACAGTGGCCATGAATGGTGTGACACATGGTTTAATTATATTAATTCAACCATGGGTGTGACAGAGCAGCAACTGAACGCAGCAGGATCGCAGGCGCCAGTTAATTAATGCAATGGTTTAGTTGCGGCAAAATGAGAGAATCAACATTTAATCACAGATTGGAAGAAATTTGAATACAGTAATTCAGATCGTACCATAGCGTTGATAATAGTTAACATTCTGAATTTCAATCAGACCCGTTCAGAATTGAAGCCCGGTTGCGCAGAAGTTAGTTTTACTTTTGATTTTCTTACGTCTCGGACAAATTTATGGCCGGACTTGCGGCCGGTCTCGCCGCCGGTGTCCAAATTCAGTGAGCATGGAATAACTCCCAAAGTAATAAACGTTGCTCGATGAAACTTGGTAAACGTATTCATTAGGACTTAACGGTGATGTTTAGCTCGTGACAATTTTTTTAATTTCACATTCATTCGTGAGTTATATGACGATACGTGCCGAAATTTGCAGTGAGCATGACATTTATTCTAAACTACTGTACATATTTGAACGAAACTTTGAATATAGAAACCTAACCTCCCAACGGCGATGTTTAGCTCGTGTTAATTTGTACGATTTCGCTTTCGTTTGCGAGTTATACGGATATACGGAGAAACGACCGGCATTTCTCAGGCCGATTTCTAAATTTGCATTGACCAAGAGCCGTATACGTAAAGCCGCATAACTCGCAAACGAAGGCAAAATCGAAAAAATGGTCACGCGCTAAACATCACCGCTGGGAGGTTAGGTATTCACTAACGAAGTTCCGTTCAAACTTGTTGAGTATTTTAGGAGAAATTCTACGTGCACTGCGAATATAGGCACGCATTGCTGCTTAAATAACGAATGAGGTAGAAGTGAAAAAAAAAAATTCGCAAACGAAGGCAAAATCTAAGAAATTGTCAAGAGCTAAACATCACCGTTGGGAGGTTAGGTTTCTATATTCAAAGTTTCCTCCAAATCTGTACAGTAGTTGATAAGAAATGTCATGCTCACTGCAAATTTCTACCAGTATCGTCATATAATTGATATAACTCACGAATGAAGGTGAAATTTAAAAAATTTGTCACGAGCTAAACATCACCATTAGGTCCTAATGAATACATGTACCAAGTTTCATCGAGCTACGTTCATTACGTTGGGAGATATTCCTTGCTCACTGAATTTGGGGAGACCGGCCGCGAGTCCGGCCGTAAATTTTTCCGAGACGTAAGGCCTATTTTACTTAAGAGATCGCGATTCGCGGGTGAGATCGGAGAAGGAATGGATGAATAAAGATGAATATTTGCTCAAACTTCAATTTAATGTATTGTAAGCTATCCAAGGGTGTTTTAGCGGTCAAAAAAATAGAACAAAATTTAGTTGGTAAAAATAAATTCCTGAATTTTTTTACAACAGAAACTTTTGATTGACTACTACTAAAGTCGACTTAATCGCAATCTAATCTACCTAGAAAGTTTGAGCAACACACTCCTAGCAGTTAGTATGATCTACGGCGTTATGCTGTTAAGTCATAGGAATAATATTTGAATAAATTTTAGGTACAAATCTAATTTTGTTTACATTCAAGCGAAATTTCGTTCGAAGTACCTAGTGTCGTTATTTCAGTCGATCTCACTATCCTGAAAGGCTGAAACAAGGTATGATTTGTGACAATAATTGAATTACCTAGGCTATAGTCCTATACAAAAGCAAATGGCCTAACTATCTAAGATGCCTAACTTGCTAAGTTGCTAAGTCACCAGTAAGTCTAAGTGAATCAACTTTATTGCAGTGCGCCTGCCTGCACGTTCATCTTTATTAAATTATTATAAAGCTGAGTGCAGCTGCCAGTGTCCGTCACAGGGTGGAATTCTAGAAATGGAGGTTCACTTATAAAAAAGCTTTCCACCCAAGGTGGAATGCTTTCCTTAGATACAGTGCTCCGTCAGGTGACTGACTATAAATGAAAAGGAGGATCAGAAGTGGACAAACTGTTTCAATTGTATAGTACCTCAGATTTGTTATAAAATTGTTTGAATGTCTCTTGTTTGATAGACATAGTGATAGTGGCAAAGCAGAGAGTTTTTTTAGACTCTCCCTCAAGTTCATTTTTGAGTCCTATAAGTAGACAAGCAAAGTATCATGGATACCAGCATTATCATACATAAGAAATTGGTTTAAACATTGAGTAAATGAGGAAATTTAAAATGAACTGATTCTAAAAAATCTTTGGTTTGCCACTATGTTGATAGATATTCTCTATTTTTCTTTTATTTAATGGATTTTTTGAAAATTTTCCAGGCTTTTTGTTTGTAATGATCAAGTTTAAGTTAAGTACGTATTTAGTTAACCAGTACTGTAGTACATATACCATATTTGGGGGCAGGGCTTATGGGCACAACCAATCACAGCTGGAAAGCATCCCCATCAACCAATCACAGCTTGAAAGCATCCCCAGCAACCAATCACAGCTAGAAAGCAGATAACATTACAACTCTATTAGGCAGGGATTTCCATCATGCGACACTAAACACGCAATTCAGAGTTCAGACGATCAGAACTACATCACATGTAAGCTATCGTGATACTGAATTGAATACCTAGCGGCTAGCGGGAAGATTCCCGCTAGGTATTCAATCTAGCGGGATGATCAATGAACTAACATTGATCATCCAGAGTTGAACAATCGCTCATAACAGAGTTGAACTAATCACTCGTATACTAAGTGCAAGAGAATGAATAATTATGTTGTTTCTAATCAAATGAACGAAACCTTTTTCTCTTTCTGATCTAACGAACGAAAACAAATTTTTGAAGATAATTCAGAAATCATAACGTCTATTGAATTCTAATACAAATCATTAATTTTAGCATCGTATTTCCAAAAATCAAGTATTGCATTTCTTTTAATTGAAAAACATTCTTTTACATCGAAAACATGGTGTGACGAATTCGTCGCACCAAGCTTCTACCGAGCTTCTACCGAGCTTCTACCGAGCTTCTAAATAAAAGCTTCTACCGAGAGTAATTACATGTTTAGAGTCTAGGCCGCACGTGTGTCGGTTAGCGTCACTTGTGAATTCGTTCGAACGACGTTCGATCGACTAGGCGCGTCGTTACTGCCAGTACAAACACAAAGGCTGCGCGTGATTGGAGTAAGCAGTTCAGATTTTTTTAACTTTTGAAACACAATTCAGTGCATTAAGGGTTAGAAGAGTGATTTCCATTCTTATATATAAACAGGATTAATAAAATACCTATCAAATCCATCCAATGCCATTCAATTTGTGATGTATGAACGACAGTTTTACTTTCATTCCTATGTATATGATTTCACTGCAGTGGAAGGTGAGGTGGTGTAACGCGGTGGTAGGGTTGATTTTTCGATACGTTTTCATATATTAACATGAGAATATATTAACTATACAGAATTCCACACTGGTACTGGTTAATTTAATATCCCTCTAGAATTCCACACTGGAATGTCCGACTTGTCAACAGTGTAACTGAATAAATTAAACTGATAAATGGTAGTACATATTGCATATTTGGGTAGTAGGCCTTAATATTTTTAAAAGTGTATAGGTACATCTGTAAGAGTAAGTTACTATAGTAACAGTGGATTCATCATCATGGATTCTAAATGATATTCTATGTTTAAATAATTATATATCAAAATTATTGTCAATTATAATTTAGAAAATATTTTTGATTTTGTTTCAAAATTGAATCGTGTGAAAATGATGATCTCCAAAGCCCAAATCAATGAAATCATCAAACTTTTTGCATGATAGGTAGGCCCTACCTAGTTTGTTAACTTTGTTACAACTTACAAGCATCAAGAGGTCAGACTGTCAGAGCACTCAGAGGACCATCTACCACTAGACAAACTTCTAGGTACATTTATCAAATATCAACTAATCTTTCTGAAATTTCACACATATACTAGCCTATGTTAAACTTGAAGGTAAAATAAAGAACAATTTGCTTGTATGAATTTTTTGAAAATTTTTTAAAAATGCAAAATAAATAGAAAATGGCAAAAGGGGATTCTTTAAAAAAATAGGTAATATCTTGAGCAAATCAGATGCTAGCCTACAAAATCAAGACACATTTTTCATTCAAATTAAAGTTATGTAGAATGTTGTGTAATGTTATGTAAGAGTAGGCTAAATTTTTTTCTTTTATGTCCGTTAATTAAGAAAATGTGTATTTTTAAAGTTTTGTTTATTTGTTTTATTTTATTGTTTTAGTTTTGTTACCACCAGAAAAATGTGGTTTTTAAAAATGTTTTTATATTTATTTATTTTCTACTTTTTAGTTTAGCAATTTTAGAAATTCAAATCATTTTCCAGGGTTGGTTTCTCTGGATATTTGACAATAAACTTGATTCCCAACCGTGAATTTTCATTTTTTTTATTATTTTTGTTTAAAGAAAAATAATTTTTTAAACTTAGGTAGCCTATTACTTCTGATGATCAAATCTTGAATTGTTAGGCAGCATAAGCATGCATGCCAAATTTCAAGTTTCTAGGATCTTCAGAAGTGCTCTAATTTAAGGTTTGAGTTTTTGATGACGGACAGAGACGAAGCGAAACTAAGAAAAACATGGTAAAAAGGGCTCCTAGAGTCATTAGGTATGGTCTTTAACTCTTTATGAATTGAATATGTCTTTCATTGCTGTAGCTTGAATACTGTATGAGTTAATTAGTTTTTAAGATGGCGTATTTTGGATATTTTAATCATTCAAGAGAGGCAAATGAAGTAAAATTCATGGAAAACAGAAGAATATGGATAAAAAATTCTTGATATTGTAGCCCAAGCTTCCTGATTCATTGCCATTAATTTGCATTTAGGGTACCAGCACACATCTTTGGACTTATTCCTGTCCAGTTTAACATGACTAATAAACTATAAATGGGATTTTTTTATATTCATATAAATATAAAATATTAATTTTATGTAAGTTCAAAACTGCATTACATAAAAACTATTGCATGTACATGATCCATGGTAGTATTTACTTGCTTGAATGTGGTATTTGCTTGCTTGAATGCACATTGTTTGTGGCTTTCAAATGAATGCAAACACATTATAATTAATGAGAGTAATGATCTATATATACAGATTTAATTTAAAGTAATCCTTGGACATATTGTTAACATGTGTTCATTTTATATATTTTTGAAATTGCTCTACGCAAAAAGTAAAGCACGTACAGACATGCATTTTGCTGCGTTAGATGCGCCTTTTCAGCAGCTACTAAGTGAGGCAAGAAAACAGAAAGCCAAAATTTTCTCTATTTTAAACTGGGACAGTTCCCATGAAGTTATTTTGAAAATATATCTTTATTGAATCTAATCTCCCACTGACTTATTTATTGTAGTGCCCCATTCAACTATGATAAATATTTTTGTAACCATGAATCTCTGAGGAGTGTTTTGCACTCTTTTGGTCACTTGTGTTAAGCAAAATATTATATGAATTTAATATAGTTCATGAGGTAGAAGAAGCATGAAAGTATAAAATTTGCCAACTATATCATAATGTTTTAACAGATTATCAAAGCATTAATTTTATAGACATTTTTTTATCTTTTATTGACCATACATTTTTAATATTTATATATAACTATTTCCAGGCACTGCTGAGATGGCACCTGAGAGCAAGCTCTTCGCGTCCTTCAGAGCAGCTGGCCTTGTCTCTTCGGGTAGGCCATTCATCCTGCGGTTCTACAAGGTCACACGCAAAACCATCCTCAAAGTTCCAGTAGGCAATGCTTTTCATGTCTATGATGCACACCGGCTTGTTCTTCGTGGAGTTAGTGACCACCATCAGTCAGCCATCACATGTCTTGAGTCCTCTTCTTCAAAAGATTTCTCAGGAACTGAAGGTGGCATCATCTATTGCTGGAATCCATTCACTGAGATTATTCATCAGCTTGTGGGTCACACAAGCGCTGTGCATCTGATGTGCTCTCTGGGTGATATTCTACTTTCAATTGATGTTAACAACAATATGAAAGTATGGGATGTGAAGCAGAATTGCATTTACTCTGAAATTGAATGGGACCAAGAAACATTCAACATTACTGCTGTGTGCCATCCCCCAACATACCTCAATAAAGTGTTACTTGGAAGTATACAAGGTAAACTTCGAATCTTTAATCTGAGAACTTCGAAATTAATTTATGAGTTTGAAGGATGGGAATCAAGCGTGACTGTCCTAGAACCTGCCCCTGCTATAGACACTGTTGCTATTGGTCTTGAAAATGGTTCTATTGTTATTCATAATCTGAAATTTGACCAAACCATCATGACACTAAAGCAAGATTGGGGCAAAGTTACTGCTCTGTGTTTCCGTTCTGATAACAACAGCATATTATTGTCTGGTACCGTCATTGGCCACATAGGAGTCTGGGACCTCAATGAGAGGAACCTAATGTCTGTAGTAGAGAATGCTCACAGTGGGCCTATAGTCACACTGACTTGTGCCAAAGGAGACCCTTTTGCTTTCTCCAACTCGACTGACAATTCCATCAAGTCCTGGATTTTTGATCTACCTGATGGAGGAGCAAGAGTTCATTACCACAGGGAAGGACACTCGGAACCACCACTGAAGGTCAGATTTCATGGTGCTAGTGACATGGCAATGATAAGTGGAGGCCAAGATTCTTCTATGCGCGTTTTCTTTGGACCCAAGTCTTGGGGCCTCAACATGGGCATGGCATGCTACAACAAAAAGGTGGTAAGACATAAAGGCCTCAAGTGTGCCGAAAAAATGCCTCCTATCATTCATTTCACAACTGAGACCACGCGAGATGAGGCGTGGGATAGCATTGCTGCTGTGCATTTGAATGCTTCTGAAGTATCAACTTGGTCATTCCACAGGAAGAAAATGAATGAACGTTTGCTGAAGCATAAACGCTTTAAAACTCCCGAGCTGGCACATGCGATGGCTACATGTATTGACATCAGCTCTTGTGGCAACTTTGTCTTCATTGGATACAACACAGGACATGTTGATAAGTACAATATCCAGTCAGGAATCTGGAAGCACTGTTTTGAGAACAGCAAGATGGTGGCAGTGCGAGGCCTTGTAACTGACTGTCTCAACCAATGGCTTGTAACCGGCGATCAAGATGGTACCTTACAATGGTGGGGCTTCCACAAAGGGAATCGACATAAAAGTTTGTCTCTGGAGGCTGGCGTTTACGGAATGCAAATTCACAGAAATTCAGGACTCTTTGCTGTTTCTCTTGACGACTGGAGTATTTCTGTCCTTGACATCGATACGCAATCGGTAGTAAGAAATTTCTGTGGGCATCACAATCAGGTTACTGACCTCGCATTTAGCTCTGATTCCAAGTGGCTCATTAGCTCATCCATGGACCACTCGATTCGCACCTGGGATTTGCCTTCGGGATCTTGCATTGATTTCTTTACTGTTCCCAAACCTGCCACGTCAATTGCTCTGTCTCCTGCTGACGAATACCTCGTCTCCACGCACGTCGGGGAACTTGGTCTGTATATGTGGGCTAACCGCAACTGGCTGAGTTTTGTGTCTCTAGAGCCGCTGAAGGAAGATTTCACTCCTCCCATGGTGAATCTGCCAGCCACTGCGCCTGATACTGGTACTGTAGATGAGCAAGACTCAGACGACTCAGACGAAGAAAATGACATGCAGTTCGATGAATACGTCTCGCCTGATCAGATCTCTGAGGATTTTATCTCCATTGATCTTGTTCCTTCTTCACGGTGGTTGAATCTAGCCAACATTGATCTCATAAAGAAAAGAAGTAAACCTCTAGAAGCTCCCAAAATTCCAAAATCTGCACCTTTCTTCTTGGAATCTGTATCTGGAATAGAAGCTCAAATGAACAACGAAAATACTCCGGATGAGGATGGTACATCAAAAATAATCAACCAATCTCAGTTCGTTCTTGAAACGCTGTCTCCTTTCGGTGCCCTGCTAAAAAAAGGCGACCATGCCAGTGCTTTTGAGAAACTTTTCAAAATGAGCCCGTCCAACATTGATATTGAAATCAGAAACTTGGATCCTGATCTCGGAGGTTCACGGGAAGCAATGCTGCAATTTTTGTACATGATTGCTAACGTTGTCGAGTCTCGGAAACATTTTGAAATAGCTCAGGGCTACATGTCGCTGTTTCTGAAGCGTCATCCCTTATTCGTGTGCAGCTCTGACGCCGATGTTAAAGAAGCTGTTGCTAAGTTGTCAGCAATACAAAGCAAATCCTGGCACGGTCTAAAGGACGATCTAAATCAATCACTTTGTCTGCTTTCTTACTTCAAGAATTCTGCCATGCTCAATTTCTGATGAGGAATAAATAAATTATGGAATTGGTAGTACTGAAATGCATTCTTAAATTATCTCATTAAGGTTTCTATTTCATTTTATAGATTTCACGGTCAGTCCTTAACCATTGGTTAAAAATGGTGTGCCTTTTTATTTCTTGTCAAAACTTTGATTTTTAAATTTAATGTTCTCGAAGATAGGAGCCGTCAAGACATGTGTTACGTACCGATATAAAATCAGTTTGCTACCTTTTTTCAATTCTTATCTTTAATTTCAATGCCTTGTCGATCGTATTATCATTTCGTGTTAGTCTTCCAGTTTGCAGATGAACAAATGTGACCAATTTACAGACATCATTAATTTGTGGTTTGGTTTTGAGAAGAATGCACCTGTGATGTGTTCCAATATTTCGTTGAATTATTGATCTATATACATAATAACATGACCCATGAATTTGTATACTGTGTTCAGCACGATGTTATTTTCCTGCATTTTCGATGGCGTAATAAAGTGATGTCTATGAACTACACGTTTTTTCTAGCCTTAGTTTTTTTTTCGGTAGATATACTCGTACATTATTTTTTTATTTCGGTTCAACTTATTTTTCAGTTTCACCTTTGATCTAATCAACATGAACTCCAGTTCTCAGCACTTCTCAGTTTTTAAGTATTCTCAGTTTTTTAAGTATTACGTACTATTCATATTTCTTCTACCATAACACAGTAAAAAGTAGCTTGCTACGCAGAGTCAAACTTTCTTACACATCAAGTAGTACTAGTTTATTAGTCCTGCGCACGTAAATTTCATTTACTAGAGTTCATTGCGGGTTATTTGAACTGTTGGTTGAGTGTTGAGGTTTTTTTCGTTTCTCAACACTGAAAGTGCGAAGGAATAAAAAACGGCTATAGTAATCCTAAACAGCTGGCTTACAACATGAGAACACACTTATATAACGTTGAAATAATTTGAGATGAGACGACAACGAAGATTTGTTAGTTCACGTTTTTTTAATATATCGAATCGCAAGCATCTCAAGCAAAATACTACTGACCAAATGACAGGAGCTAGCTAAAAGTTCGAGCTTGGAAGGCTCAGTTCATTTCTTGGTGTCGCCGGAAGGTTGAGTGAAATGCGGGATGAATGTGGATTCATCTTCAATATAAGGGTACGCACACAGTGAAAGCAGGCTTGCCTGCGCGGGCAACCTGCTCCAACCTGCCACAAGAATGAACATAGGATAATAATGTAAGTGTTCACAGTGAAAACCTGTACGAATAGGCTTCTGTATGCTATGGTTTCAACCTGCCACAAGAATGAACATAGGATAATAATGTAAGTGTTCACAGTGAAAACCTGTACGAATAGGCTTCTGTATTCTATGGTTTCAGGCGCCAGCATGAGCAGGTAACCAGCACGTTGGCAATCAATGAAAAATGAATTCAAAGTAATGCGTTACTTGGATGATGGGCCTGATCATACGTTATTACGATTCCTACTTTAGTTTTACAAGGAGCACAAAATTTAGCTGATAGTGCACAATCAATGCACAAAATCGTGCAGCACGTTTAATGCAGAAGTAAAGAGGCAAGTTTAGTGAAGAAAGATTGGAGATTATGAAGCATCCAAGAGACGCGGTCTCATCCAAGAGACGCGGTCTGAGTTACCGCGGTCTCAGAGACGCCTCCATAGAAGTATGGGCAGGGTGGCTCAATGGAATGAGTTCAGAGTACTAGGATTGGAGCAGAGAGGTGCGGGTTCGATCTCAGCTCTGTGTGCCATTTTCTGGTCAGAATCGGCGAGCAGGCCGAACGGTTAAATTAAGTAAAGCAATATTGAGGCAATAAGTTGCGTGTTCGAGACCACAACAATCTGTAAATGTTATTGAATGCTTAAAATCGGCAGCCGGGCCCACGGCCTAATTAACGCTGAAACCGCTTTATATTACATTATTATTACATATTAGATTTCAAAGGGCTACTGAGATTCAAACGAGTGCTAACAGTGAGGAACGCAACTCTTGCTATCCTCAGGAGATCGCAACTCGTGCAGGTATAAAATGAAGGAATTACGATGCAACTTATTCATGCGAAAAAACTTATTTTTGCTTCGAATCACCGACATTAGGAACAAATTCTTGCTGAGATCGTCAACACCTGAACTACACTAAAGTTATAAGACCTGCAGTGAGATGCAGATAGGCGACAGCCCATGCTTGGCCTAATCGCCAACGCCGACACTATTAGATCAAATAAAACTCTTTTGCTGTTGCGATCTATTTCTAACCGATAACCTGAAATGAACTTCATATCCCATAGCTCATTTCTTAGCTCAACCTTATGCTGAGCGGCAAAAGCGATCGATTCAGAACATTGAAGAGTACCTAGATTACGAATATTTCTCTCAAACGGTCGTTGGTAGTATGTTCTTTTCGTCGCATCTCTTGTCAGTGATCTTAACCTCAATTCGCAATCGCCGCTAGAATTTGCGTGCAAAATCCAGCTCCATTTGGTGTAGCTCGGATTCGGGGTTATTGGGTGTGTTGCAGTCTATGATTGGTGCTGAAAACAAAATCTGATCCAGTGAAGTTATGCAATCTTATAGTTTCAAAACAAATTTATTCAATGTACCAATATCACAATATACATTGCGTCACGCCCTAGTGCAGAAGAAGGAGAATTTTTGCTTTCCTTTTGTTGTTTGGTAATTTATATTTTTGTTATTGCAGAGCAACTTATCAAATCATGTCAAAAAGCCACTTTGCCTTCTGTTTTGATAACTTCGTGTGATCTTCCTTCTATTCAAAATTATGTGCTCCATTCACGAGAAATAATTCCTCCAGTAATCGTCACAATTGGTTTGAGCGCGAAGTCACATTGCCGTCACACTGAGAATTACGGCAGAAGCTTCAAGGGACTCAAGCGTCCGCGCGGCAGCAGACATGTGCGGGCCAGTTGGTAAATGATCAAAGGATGTTCGATGACCCGTCACTGAAGAGCTGCGAGTCATTTGTGTATCAATGGAAGACCAATCAAGACCTCCGGCAAAGGCTTGATAGACTGTACTGCCGCTATCTACATGGCTTCAATGGGCCATTCAGAGCCCCATTTACAGAGCGTCCTTTCACTTCCGCCGCACGTCCTGAGGCGTAATCTTGAACTCCCACTGACGGCGATAATCGGGACAAATAAATTCTAGCTACTGAATATTATTCGCATTCGATAGATGATGCAGTTATTCTTGGTAGATGAGTAAACTTTACATCAGTCAGAGTAACATTCGAGAGGTATTTCGTTTTTATTGTAATGCATGTATATATATGGACGACCCCTCGCCAATGGCGCTCGCTGTAATGCTCGCTATTTCACGCCGCCATGCCGGCCAAATCTCTCAAGTATCACGGGCGCAAGCTGGCGAATCAGCCCTAATACATTAACGAATTATTGCCTGCGTTTGTCTGCCTCCTTAATTAAGGCTTCCCGCGTCTATTGTATTGAAGGTCGGAAGTCGCTACATCCAAGCCTGGAGTGTTCTAGACTTGCACTGCTTCAGCATAATAATTCCATGTACGTTTGGTGTTAATAAGCTAACGGATGCCTTTGAAATTTTATAGGAGTATCGATACAAAAAAGAAAAAATATGGAATGACGTCCTTCGACTAGTCCCAGTATTTGAGCGCCATAGATTGTACGGAGAGTGAGGATAAATTTTAACTGCTATCCTACAAATATATATAAAATCATGGTTATTATATTATATTATATTATATTATATTATATTATATTATATTTTTAAAATGTAAAAATCTTTTTTTGAATTTAAGGAGTCACCGTTAAGTCGTTTCTGAAATACAATCAATATTAATAACTTTTATATTATATTATGTAACTTTTATTACATTAAATAAATAATTTTATAGTATATTATTATTATATATATTATAGCGCTGACGAAATATTCATGGCGTCAGCTAGAAATAAAAATTACATGTAAGCGTCCAAGAGCGAGTTCTTTTGCACAATTAATAAAAATTTGAATGTCCTATCTGCTCACCAATGTGAGGCACTTGCTCACTAGCACTTGTATATTTTCTCTAGTTGAATGCGAGAAACGAGAAACTGAGGAAGGTCGTGTTCCGTTTGCGAGAGCCTGACATTAGCGTGGAGTTCACATCGTTTCAAAACATATCGCGGGCTACAATTCGGGTCCTAATACGACCATCAGTTGCCTCTTGAAGCCCAGCAAGAAGCGCCCTCAAGAGCCATGCAACGGCTACATCCCTATTGTCGTTGTCGGAATCCTTCGCTAACGCTCGCTTCAAGAATTATGGATGCCATAAAGAGGTGCCTGAGTGTGGGAATTGGACACATGTGGGGCGTTTAATTCCACTTGTGGCAGTGCCTGATCGATGCCTGTAAACGCATGATTTTTTCGCTCTTTGAAAGGTGGGTTTAGGGGTTTTAAATAAGGGCGAATTTTCACGCAGAATACTCATTGGAGTGAGAACTAAACTATATATAGCAGGTAAATGAAAGTTTACCTGTAGCCATTCCATTCTGAAGGCCGTACATTCTATGCTGACAAGTTTCATAACCATTCCTTTTGCAGATGTTTGTTTATTTGTTATTTTTATTGTTTTTTATTCTTCTCAAATTCATGACATAAATATCATGTTTTCTGTTGTTAATTGACGAAGATATTTAAACCAGCTTAATTGTTCAATACACATAGTTTTGCCTTAATATTTATTGGAAATGCAGACAATGAACTTATGGCATGGGAACAAAATGTAAAGCCGTTCAGCGGCTCCTGTGGACCAGCTGCTTAATGTTATGAGCGTAAAGGGAGTTTATCAAAGAGTAAGGAGCAGAACCTGGCGCTGGATAAATTCTACACTAAAAAATTTCATGATAAAACAACCAATAACTGAGAACGCCCATTACTTATAAATTTCGGGCTTTAACGTTACGATAGCACAGATTAGCATAGGGAAATATATTCGAGTGAGGCGGCTGGAGAACTATTGAGGCTCGCGATGAAATTTAGTGTTAAGAGTATCCTGGCCATGTTGGGATTAATAGATATTGTGCTGCTTGGAGGGATAATGTACATAGAGATCGTTCACGCGTAGCTGGAAGTTACTTCTTCTGCAATCAAATTCAATTTGAATACAATTTTTACGTATGATAATTAGCTGTTCTTTCAAGTTCTGCATACAATATCGTTGAAAAATGATCAAAAGATGTTCTATAAGTTTTTGTGTGGAGACTGGAATGACAGTAAGGTCTGTATATATGATTGGTAAGTATGATGAAAGTAAGATGCTGTGATGACAGTAAGGTCAGTATGACAGTAAGTATGATGACAGCAAGTATGATGACAGTAATTAAGTATGACTTGTCAATAGATCTTCTGCTTAATAATTGTTTTGTGGGAACAATAATAGTTTCTTTTGAAAATTGTGCTGTTCTGTTATTAAATCAAAGCTAACGCTCTCTAAAATCTCGGCTCTCTAAAGTTACTAAAATCTCGGCTCTCTAAAGTTACTAATATCTCTGCTCTCTAAAAAGTTACTAATATCTCTGCTCTCTAAAAAGTTACTAATATCTCTGCTCTCTAAAAAGTTACTAATATCTCTGCTCTCTAAAATTACTAATATCTCGGCTCTCTAAAGTTACTAATATCTAGGCTCTCTAAAGTTACTAATATCTAGGCTCTCTAAAGTTACTAAAATCTCGGCTCTCTAAAATTACTAATATCTCGGCTCTCTAAAGTTACTAATATCTAGGCTCTCTAAAGTTACTAATATCTAGGCTCTCTAAAGTTACTAAAATCTCGGCTCTCTAAAGTTACTAAAATCTCGGCTCTCTAAAGTTACTAATATCTCGGCTCTCTAAAGTTACTGATATCTCGGCTCTCTAAAGTTACTAATATCTNTACTATACTATACTATACTATACTATACTATACTATACTATACTATACTATACTATACTATACTATACTATACTATACTATACTATACTATACTATACTATACTATACTATACTATACTATACTATACTATACTATACTATACTATACTATACTATACTATACTATACTATACTATACTATACTTTACTATTTTAATATACAAAGAGTTTTCGATTAATTTGACATATTTTTTCATTCTACTCGCGGAACAGTTGACTGTTTAGTGTCAATTTATAATTTTTTTGTGTCTAAATTTTTTCTTTATTCTGAAGACTAATTCTGAAGACTATTCCTACGCAACTTTGAATATTCAATACCATAAGCAGAGGAGCATTTGATCGCCCTTGCAGCTCGTAGAAGACCTAGCTGTTCATAGCTGGCATAGAGACCAATTCGAATATATGTTCAGATTTGAAATGCCTAGCACCATATCGAACCTGGTGGAGGTCTAGTAGCTATTTTAAACTATCGTCAGTCATGAAAAGATCCGGTCAAATGACACGATTTTAGATCTTCTGTGAACAAGGCACGAAAAGTTCAAGGTTCGGCGACAGGCGACATCAGGCCTACACATCAGCGCCGAGATCACTATGTTATGTTATGTTATGAATGCGGTCAGTTTAGCCATGCTCTTCCCATGCAAGCACCAGCACCTGCAGGAGAAACTCTAGGCGAAGTTGGTTGAAGTTTTGGGCTCGGACAACATACCGAGCATAGATCAGTGAGTGAGCTGGTGCCGAATGCTGAAAATTCTTGTATTTTCCCCGAGAAACGAAGTGCAAATCTTGTATCTAAAATTTTCTGAATTGCGATGAACTCGTACATTTAGGTATGAAACCAGTCGTGATTTCAGCCCACATTTATCCGAGAAACATTTTGCTACTTACTCATTTTTACCTCCAGCTCGTAATTATAAGTACGATTCTTTTAACTGGTGAACGACAATGGTGTATCTAAATAAGGATGAGGCGATTTCAGTTAAAAAAATGTTTGTTATGTGTACTAAACTTGTCAAAATTTATTAAATTAATTCAGATAACATAGATTTACGAAAACATGACCGCAAATTCAGTATAGAAAATTGGACGATAAAAAGTCACTATCAAATGAAAACAAAATGCACTTTCCTTCTAAAATATGCGCTCGGCATTAAGAATACGTGCGGAAATTTTTAATGTCTAATTAGCTTTATTGCGTAATTACAAAAATGTTATGGTGCCATGTTTACTGACCCTAGTATTACCGTATTTTTTATTTGCATTTTATTTTAACGATTGCGAAGAATGGCACTCGTACTTTTCCAACATCCTGACAGGCACTTTTTTCACCTCGAATAAAAGATACACAAAAGGGGGAATACTCTAACAAAATCACCTTCTTTGTGCAATCGTAGACTATCTTCTGCTAAACCAAGATATTCAGATAAAATTATTAAATATTCTACATAATTAGTTACACATAAATGGTTATCAACAAAAATTCGTGCAGTCTCCATACTAGTCAAATATCGTTAAGGCTCAGACTAGAACTTAGAAGTAACACCGAAAAGATAGCATGCTGCCTTGTCAGATGAATAATAAAAGTTATTAATATTATTTGTACTGCAGAATGGACTGAACGGTCACTCGTGAAATTCAAACAATCAATTTGTCGTTGTAAAATAAGTAAAGTGTTGGATTTTGGGGAATTTTAAAGTTGGATTTTAACGCTATTAATATTATTTGAAATTTAGAAACGACTGAACGAAGACTCGTGAAATTAAACAGTCTTTTTGCCAGTGAAAAATGAAAAAAGTGTTGAATTTGGGGAAATTTCAAATTGATTTATGAAAGTTTTTGACATTATTTTTGTTTTCCTGCGCTAAGATCAGAGATCTACGGTAAATTACACCGGTGCAAGAAAGTTTTAGAAGTTTATGCTTCTTCTTGATGACAGACTTTATTCTAGCGGTCACCCAAGGAGGCCCATGTTTTCTAATCGTGACAAACTTCATGAGAATAGATGCATTGTAAAAAGGCATGGTACTTACTACTACAGAGTTCAGTCATGCAAGACTGTTTATAAGGTTAGACTCATCCATATTAGTTAGAAATACAGAGGGGACACCATTGATTTTCTCACTAAATTTTTTAATATTGTCTGCATTAATTAGGCAAGTTTTTTTCCTAGATGGAGCAGTCGAAAACCCAGTTTCAAAATAAAATAATGTCATCAAGTGATCTGATAAGTCACAGTCAAAAACGGATGATTCTGGGTTTCATATATAGAAATCACACCAAATATGATTAAGCAGTGAATATAAGGCGTGATAGGATTTTCAGATGAGATTCTTCTTGGTTTAGTTATGTTTAGTTATGACTGTAAAAAATTGCTACAAAGAATGTCAAGAATAAAATTGTTGGTTGAACACAGATTAAGACGGTTGTGCAGATTTTTATTGAAGTTTCCACAGATGATTGCTTTATTAGATCTCCTGATTTTTGATAGAACCTCTTGTGAAAAAAGCTCATTGAAAATTTGAACACGCTATTAGAAGGAGGCTGATAAACACAAAATAATTTCGAGGTCAAAATAACTTTTTATATAAATAATATTAATAACTTTTATAGTCCAGCTTGAAAATTTCCCCTAAACCTAGCAGTTTATTTATTTTAAAATGTAAAAATCTTTTTTTGAATTTAAGGAGTCACCGTTAAGTCGTTTCTGAAATACAATCAATATTAATAACTTTTATATTATATTATTTCAACGGATTTCTTAAATTTTCCATATTCTTATGTTATAAAATGCTTTAAAAAATATTTTATGACTTAATTAATTGGAGGCTGCTAGCAACTCCTAAAAAAACATTTGCATATTTTTTAACTAAAATTCTAAACGTTTGTCATGCAACTCGTTTCTAGGCCACAGAAAATCACTTTCAAATTTGATCGCTTGCTTTTAATTGGAGTCTTCAATACCTGACCGCAGCTTCGTTTACTCAATACTTGAACATGGCAGAGTGCTTCTATTGCCAGTTCTGCGAAAGTTTAATATTAAACGCAATTTCTTGGAAGTATATTGAATGCAAATTCAAGCAAATATAATATGAGCCGCTACTAACTGTACCAATATCAACAATATAAAATAATTGTGCAATTCAAAATGAATGCGTGCATTCATTTCTAGTCAGTTTATGGCGTCTCTAATATTTTGCAGTTCATATTTATGTTGTGGTCAAAAGAATTTTGAAATTGATATGAAAATTCAGTCAGCAAATAAAAATTTGTTACAAAAAGCTTGTTAACGGCTTTTAGTAAAATCCCGAATCAGTTTGTTGAAATTTCAGTTTCATAATGATTTTCTGGCCGAAGTAATAAAATATATCTGTGGCACTCAAATGAACAATGAGAGTTCGGAATAATTATGGTATATAACCAACACTGAGAAAGGAAAGCATAACAGGCCTGAATTTACAACTATTTTATGTATACACACCAGGACTGATAGCGTGCAAATTCCTTCGAAGTTTTTAGATATCGTAAATTTCAACGATATCTAAATTGCACGGTACCAGTCATTACGATTACTTATATACAACTTATATAAAAATCTTCTGAATTGCACGTACAAAGCGAGTCAATTGTTATAAGTTCTGTATTGATATTTTTACTTGAATTCCAAAGAGCTACTACGCCTGAACTAAGAATCTCGGAATTCATTATGTGTAACAGCCTTCGAATTTAACGGCAAGACGACCGCATAATTCATAAAAAAACTTAAAAAAACAATCTATGATCGACAGTTTAAAAGAGTTCTTAACTCTTATCGATATCAACCATGCACTAAACTGTCGTCAATATCAACGTCACCAACAATCTTGTACAAAACTCTTGTTAATATCAACGTCACCAACAATCTTGTACAAATCTCTCGTCAATATCAACGTCACCAACAATCTTGTACTAAACTCTCGTCAATATCAACGTCACCAACAATCTTGTACAAAACTCTTACGTCACCAACAATCTTGTACTAAACTCTCGTCAATATCAACGTCACCAACAATCTTGTACTCAACTCTCGTCAATATCAACGTCACCAACAATCGGGTACGTTACATTGGTGGCTATTCCACACATGTTGACGTTGCGCTGAATTTTAAAATATCCTTCATCGCCCCACTTGGCGCTCCAGGAATTCTTGACGAGCCAATATTCCATTCCGGCCTCGGTGCCGTAGCCAATGATGATCACTCCGTGATTGGCTGTGGTGTTGCTGCAATTCTTAACCGACAAGACACCTGTAGTTCAAAAAGAAAATATCATTTCTTCCATAAAATATCTTGAATGTTTGTTCTTACTTGATTGTTGGTACTTTCTTTACATTAATGTTATTATGCATGACGGCTTATGGATGATCATGAGATTTAAGGATTATTTCAATGATATTTATTTAGTGTCTAGTCGTTCCCGGTGGAGTCTGCGATCTTTATATCGCTGACATGAACAGAAAATTGTTCGTACATGCATTTTTACGTCCTTATTTTTTGGAGCTCAATAATTTTTACTATTTTTTTACAGCGATTAAAATAGAAAAAACGTTCCCTTAGTATCTAACATTTATGCTAATTTTTGAAGAAATGAAACTAATAAGCTACCCAAATTATATGGAAAATGTAAGCCGTGAGGTGACATGCCTAATTTACCTCTCTTGTACGCAAAAAGATCAATGGTGGCGTCCATGACGGCAGTCACAGGCCCTCTGGTGGCGACGACCGCCTTCAGGAGGACCTCGTCTGCTGAAGGCAATTGCCTGAAGCCCAGCACTCTGGCCCCCACCGCTTGCGGGCTGAAGTGACAGCGCTCAGGCTGAGGAAGCAAAGGAAACCTTTAAAGTTGGAGGAGGAATTTGGATTGAAACTTCCTGCCTTAATCGAAGAGAAGTTACAAGTTTACTCCATTCGCGCGTAAGGATACAAGACCGCTGTTTAAAAGTATAACAAAGAAAAATATAGTTATCAGTCATAAATTATCATTATTAACAGTTAATAAATGATTAAACGGCTAAAGAAACAGCAAATAAAATATAATCGCGAGTACACATACGAGGAAACGATAAGGATACGGGAGTGTGCCACTACAAAAAGTAACAAAATGTCATAATAAATAATCATCAGTCACAGTAACTGCGTTGATAATTGGCTGAAAATGGCAGATATAACACGAATACTCACGAAGAAATGATAAGGATACGAGAGCGCGGTGTCCACGCCGCCCTGCCGCGTCATGAAGCGGTACGCCCTGAAGACGTCGCCGCCGTGACACGCGGCGTCCGTTCGGTCGCAGTCCAAGAGGTTCTGCTCCGACAGCTCCACGAGCTGCTCTGAGCGCAGGAAATGGTGACTCTCTACGGCTCCTACCTGCGGAAAAACTGTCTTGCATTAAATTTAGATTTGTAAAATATGTAAAGTCTTTAAAGTAATGTATATAAAAAAATATAATAAAATACTTTACTTTAAAGTAATGAAGTAAAGTAATATGCTTTGGACTGACTCTTTCTGCCTCTCCGGGAACAAAAGTTTTTGAATTTTAAAGCATGATCCTTGCCGCTGCAGTGTTCTCGTGCTAGGCAGTTCATGACGAGAATTGATTCAATAAGCATCATTATGCTCGGTCCTGGTACACAGCAAGTTAATAATTATCCTATTTATCAGGATTAAAATAATCCTTCCATTAAAATAATCCTCATCCAAATCCGAAGTTTACCTTAGGTACAAGGCTACAGTGTTCATTTTACTCACGGTTGCAAAGGCCCAACACGAGCCACATTTGCCCTGATTTTTGACGCGGGTGACAGCTCCTCTTTGACGCCAGTCAAGCGTATCAGGGATACTGACGTTGATAAGAGACGTAGGCGCTTCAGACGGAATATTATAGTCGGTCCAAGTGTCCTCTGGCAAACGCTCTGATCTCTTGATGCCGAGCATCTGAATCCTCTCCGATTGTAGCTGCGACGAGACATAAGCACTTGATGCTTGCATTACTTAGAAACCTTAAAGCCTATACACCTTCAGTCATTTGCCTGAGACAGAATTAAATTATCTCGTTATGTTTCTGAGTTACTAAATTGAGATCAGTAGCTTGTCTTAAGGGAGCGTCTTTTTCAATCCGGCATTTTCGCTTTCAGCAGATGATTATACCTCGCTTAAAATTTATGCGGATGATTGTACCTCCATTGAAATTAAAACATCGTAATGAACAGAAGTAGAAATTTTGTTTTTCTATAATTGGTTGCCAATTATACGGTTATCAGCGTCTATTAAAAAAATAGAAGGGTGTAAATTATACGACAATATAATCGCAATTAACAGCTTGAATGTCCTCAAATTACAGTGATACACCGAAAGATTCCTGAAATACGCTCATTAATTCGATAGGTCTCTTTAAAATACGATAGCATTGAATTCTTTACAATGTTTTCCATTGTAAAAATTGTTTAAGAAATAATTTTATTTCAAACAACGAGATTCAAGATCATTAGTTTCCTTATGTATTAGCTTGAGCTTAATAGAGTTTGTGATATATGCGTTTTCGGGCTTTCATTAGAACTCACCCAGACTGCGAAATGATTCATGTATGCATCAGAACTCACCCAATCTGTGAAATAATTCATGTCGACATCAAAACTTTCGAGTTGAGCCCTGTACCTCGAGCGGTGCAGAGTAATTCGCCTCATGTTTCGCATGAAGACGGACTCCCTCACTTGATCTTGAAGGGAATCATAGGTTTTGTTGAAGCGAACTTTGAATGAATTCCACAGGTGGTTGTTTCGTGCAGCGTACCCATGAGATGGCCTGCAGACGTGCGACTGAGACAGCAGCGTCAAGAACAGGAATAAGTTTTTTCTCGAGAGTCCCGTAGACAACATTACGCACGATATTGAAGTGCGTATCACAGTTAGGACTGACTCAACTAAAGTAATATGTTTGTGAAGAATTTCAATAAGATCGAAACGAATCAGTACAACTCCTGAGACCCGAAGGACATTCGTCTGAAATAATTGAAAAAATTATGATAATTTCACCCAATGTTTTTTTTATTAATTTGTCACCGATAAAGCGAATGTGTGTGATTTCAATTTGCAACAGAAATTTAATGAAATTAATTTATTATATCATTGTCATTATGATCTGGCAACGTACGTCAACTTAGTAAAATTAAAATACTTCCGTGACAATTTTCGTAGAAAATAATAATAACCAAAAACTCCGATATCTAAGATTCATAAAGATCGTCTAGATTCATCTCATCCAATATTCTTTAATGAATTTCTTCTTTCGGTTAATACAACGTTACTGTTACAAAATAATTGTTCATAAAAACTGTCATAAATAAACTATAACACGACTTGTGCTCAGAAATCACGTTCTGGCAATGGCTTGGCTATTTCTCTTATTGTCATCAGGAATTTGTTTTCGAGTTTCTTTAACTCATTTAAACTTTTTTTCAATGAATTCTCTGTTGAAGGGTAATAAATTTATACTATAACCAAGGATGCTGAAAAAAATTCACGATCAAGGAGGTTGCAAGGAGATATCTTAAGCTATTCACTCAAACTTAACGGCACATCTCGTCAGATGTTGGTATTGACTAATATCTTGCAATCGTAAAGAGGTCATTTGCATGCGCTCAGTGATCACAGTGCTCAATACATTGATAAGAAGCTACTGATAATGACATCGGACGATTTCCGTCTAAGTTTTTTCAGTGCCTCAAATATATTGATTCCTTATTTTAAATCACTCTAGTGATATATCTCGGTTCTAACTAGGGTACAGTAATTTCAAGTTCAATTCTTTTACGCTTTGAATTATCTGCTAATATATCAAACAAAGTTGCGTTTTTTGAAAGCATTTCTTTTATCATTCTTCCACAAAACAACTTTTGCTGAAGCTGTCTGATGAATGTCCACAGATTACGTTATATGTATCAGGTAATAAATATTTTTTTACCCTATAGAGATGTTGAACATTTTACTAGTAGATTGCCGGTTTTCCAGGAGACTTGAATAAACCTGGAACTCTAAATTAAATGAACTCGTCGATTGTTAAGTGGTTGTTCAATTGATTGTCACGGATAAAAATTCCTCTGAGGTCGATTAACTTCTAATAATTGTATCAGAAAACTACACCAATAATAATGATAGTAATGATTGCACTAATAATAATGCAAATAATGATAATAATTATGTCGTGTAAATTTTCTAGTACTGCCATAATGTAAAAAGTGCATGCTTTTCCAGATCAACTGCAGCGTTTGACAATTTCCTTAATGTAAAACACGAGAAAGTTGTAAAACAGTTCGATAAATAAAATTTTAGATTTTTGAGGAAAGTCTATAAGGTACGAAGACGAACTCTTCGTTTTAACTTCTCACGTACACTTACCATGCAAATGGGTCACGAATTGATCGTTATCGTTATAACGTGTTGCAAAATAAGACTTTCATTTTACAAAGTTGACAGCAGCACATTCTTCATAATTATGAACCCTGTTAGGAAATCGCAAATTCTGGTAGGGTTTCAAAAAATTCTTTGCATAATTTGTAAGGTATTATTCTCGTTAATTTTTCTATCATTAAAATTAAGTACTGGTAAGATTTTCTGCTCATCGAGCAACTGAGCTCGTCACTATAAAGTTTGTCCCTGAACCTTGTCAAGCGGATATTAATTTCATTTTTCGGGGTCTTGCCCCTGATCAGGCGTGCGCTCTGAGCTTCAACCAGGGCCCATACTTTCAAAAAAAGTTAAGAGATCGTAAGTTCGTCTGCTAATCATTGACGGCCTTTCAAGCAAAATCCACCAATCATAGACAAGAAAATAGAACGTAAGTACCTGCGTTAACTTAGCCAGTTTTGAAAGTATGGCCCCAAGACGATAAAATATTGCAATCTTATGTCTCCCCTGAAAACTCAAGAGTCGGAAGGTAGCAATGACGAGGAGCAATTTATTTGCGTTCAGTAATCTGGTTAATGAATGAATCCATAATAAATGACTTGTCATTTTTGATTGTTGACTTGTGCATTATCTCCCAATATTTCCGCATCGGGCTTTTAGCTTCGGTTTAAGTAATTAGACCTGATTAGGGTACTTCATACCGGATTTGTATATTTATAACTGAATAAAAAAGTACGACGGAAAATTAAAACATAATTTATTTTTAGTGGTAATTGGAAATTAACCTTCAGTTTTCTTTTAATCCTATATGTTATATATCTAGGGAAATTCGTTCATTAGTTGCACGTTCTTGAAATAGATTTGTGCTTACTAAATTGATCTGCCACCACGACTCTTGTAATTGTTAATAAAATACCGGAAACGAAAACTTCATCATCACTATTTTGCCGAAAAGCTTAAGCTCATAATAATTCAATAATCAAAATACTGTTTTCTGAAGTGTAACGAATTTCTGCGCAGTGACAAACCTTGGAAGCGATATCCAACTTCTGATCGTATTTACACAATGTAATTCACTGTCAATTAAAGCACTTCATTCACAATTAAGGTTAATGGTCCGCATAAACTGAGCTTAGTTTGCAGTTGCACCAACATTGCCAATGAATAAGTAATGAGCCAATGAATTACAGCTTAATTGTATCGATATCTTATACCAGTCTTATGCGTTGAACCTAAATTGAAGCTGCGTCCAATGGTGGTCCCTGAAATTCATTGCAAAGCTGAGGAGTAGCCACGATCGAAAAATTATTTAGAATGTTCCCTAACTAGTGAATACATGAACATTTGAATACAATTTAAACATGGCAAAGGCTTTTTATAGGACCCAAAATTTGAACCAGCATCAGCAGAGGGATTTTCTCTGTAATTTCAACAAAAAGTTATTTGATTTTATATTTTGTTCGTGTCAAGAAGGCATATAAATTATCATTACGGTAGAAATTTTTCATTACGTTGAAATTTCTTGACAACAATCTATCTTCTCATATCTTCTCTCAATGTACCACTTTTAGACCCATTTTTAGACCCGTTATATTTTGAACCCACTTAATTATATTGTATGGACGTTTTTTCATTACCCGTATAGTAACCCAATAAGTCGATCTTTTATGTTTAACGTAAATCATTATATGGTTTAAATTCAAATATACAGGGTGAACCAGAATTAAGTAACCCCTTTAATTTGTTAATAAATAAAAAACTAAGAACGTTAGGAAGTTGAAACTTGTTTTATTTAAAAGAAGAACATTTTTATGGTAATATTGTATCCTAGTTTTTAAATATAATATCTTTTAAATGCCCACCACAATTGTTTTGACAAAATAGGGCTCTTCTCTTCGTTGCTTTCATAACCTTCATTAGTAATTTCCCGGTATCCGCAAATTTTCGATTAAGAGATTCAATTGTTTTTTTTTTTTGAAGGACTGATTCTTGTTTTGAAATGGATCCTGTAATCACGTTGAACTTATCACTCGAAAAATTAAACAGAAAACTATATTTCTATTTCAGCCCAATTTAAGAAGCGGGTGAGACTTTTTAAGGGATTTTACGACTTCATCATCCTACAATTTCTCCCGCCGCACTGTTTTAAACTCCAGCAAATTTCAGTTAATCTTTTTGTCTCAGTGCAAATTAATTCTCAAGTCTTGCTGAATGGTTGGTGCAATATAGAGGATTGAGCTGCCACTGCCATTGTCTGTACTCTGAACAAACACCGGCGCTCTCCATGCCGCCACTCGGCCCCCGCCTACGCCGGCCTAAGCGGTTCCATTTAGGCTTCGATGGAACCACACGAGTGTTAGCCTACCGCCCTGGCTGCGCCCCTTAATACAGCAAAATCTCGTATATGGAACTAAATTGTTTCAGATTTATGCAAAGCATTAATCCTTGGTTTCCTCCTAATAAGTTCAGAATGATTTGTCGTCCGATAATACAGTTCAACGAAGATTATTGTATTAAAAAACACGTGATGAAAATTATTCTTTTCAGTTTTATTATGGGAACTCATCTTACAAAGGAGTAACAGAAATGATGGGTGACAGTGGTTTGGCTGTGCGTGCAGGATAATACAGAATTTCGATTCATAAAAAATATGTTTCGTCTCAACATATGATCAGCATCAACAGTAATTGACATGTGCATGTGAATCGCAATTCAAACTAGCAGCTCTTTAACTTTTTGAAATGACTGGAAAGCATGTGTTGTATAGTTATTATTTAATTCTCTGATCAACTACTTATTTCAAACCATAGTTCTTTGATCGACGATAAATCAGTAACAAATTTATTACTGGATTAAGTTCATCCCTTAACCCATATGCATTTCAAACTATTGCTCATGGATCAATGATAGCTCAATAATTATGATATTACGGGATAAATTTCATTCCTTAACCGTCATCAATGCCAAAACTTTGTTCTCGGACAGATTATATAGCTCCTGAATTATTTTGTTGATGGAAGAGCGCAGACCTCCATCACCCACAAATCTACGGACAATCTCAGCCTCTGTTGGAATTATTTCTCGAGCTCATGAGCGAGAATCGTGTTCGAGAACATTCTTAGCCAAAGGCTTCGAATATTCCTTGTAATTACATACTTGGTTTCTGTTGTATGTATTACCATTCTATTGCATAGTTCATAAGAAATGATAATATAATACGTTTTTAGAGGCATTTGCGAAATTTTGTTAGGCACTATTAAAATCATTTATTAATACATAGTTGATTGTGAACGCATGCTTGACATGAAAGCAAAACGAACTTAAATTATATGATTAACTACTAATTCAATGCACCAAGCTGGTCATTTACATTCCTTTGCAGTTATTGGACATTTTTGGAAGAACGTTTTTAATGTGAAATTTTTTTTTTGAGTTTTTCATTATTGTAACGATGACTCCAAAATTTATTTTTAGAATAAAAATAAATTCAGCAGCATTGAAAAAATTCAGCCAGCATTCAGCCAGCATTGGTTTTCCTTCCATCATATCAGTTCAAGTTGTGATTAAAATCCTAAAAAAAGGATAGCGAGT